AAATCAAAAAAAAACCTGCCACAAATTCCGGCTATCATTGCGGACAAAGCTATCTTCGGGGATCGGGATTACAGTCCATCGATTGGCCTGACCATCGTCATATGTATGGCCAAGAAAAAATAAAAAAAGAGGACCTGAAAAGTGGCGACTGCCAAAGTTGTTGCAATTGAATTTGCATAAATTGTGGCCGGAGTCGAGTTCCTTCTGGTTTACTGGCTTGCTCTGCGGTTATGCAAATGCCCCACACACACACACACACACACACACACACACCCCCTTGTGTGCATTTGAAAATGCATAAGATTTATCCAAAGATTGCTGTCCATTAATTCAACTTGGATTTACTTTTAGCATATTTTACTACATGCAGCAGAAAGACTTTTTGTATTCACTGTTCGATTCGGACTCGGATTCGAATACGCAAATTCTCTTTTTTTCTGCACCCAGCACCCTCTCCATCCTCAACTACTTGCAATAAATTTGCATTTACCCACAAAATGTTTTGAACTATGGGGTTTTGAATTTGAAGGGGCTTTCGGTTTACCTTGCGTTTCGATCGATTTGCGGCTGAATTTATTCAAATTGTATCTGCCAGATCTACTGAGTTTATTCAGTCATATTGATTAGTTTTTGATTGCTGGCATTTAGATCGAGAGATGACCTTTTTGAGCTACCATTTGGGTTGCTAATTCTAGCTGCACTTTAGTGACTCTGTCACTCAAGCTAAATACAAATGTCAAATGCCAAGAATGCTTACTGATCCCTTAACCACTATAAATACTTTAAGTCCACATATTCAAGCACTAAACACTATTTAATAGTAAAATGCCTCTCCTGCGGTTTTCGCCTGAAAATTTCTATTACATTTGTGTCAAGACAAAAGGCATTTTTCCTTCGTCAAAAACTAGGCCAAGAAATTTTGGTCAAAAAACCAAAAGACACACAAACTGAGTGAAACTTGTTAGGGCCAAAAATGCGAAGGGAAACCGCAGAAACCACTGATAGAAAAATTTGTGTGTTAGTTTGCCGCCTCAGCAAAGGCAAACACACATGAAAATTTAAATCCATTAACTGGTCAGAATGTTATACACAATTTATGAGGCGCATTGGCAGCAGGACCGGAGGTGGGTCCTTGTTTTCGAACGTACATATATATTGAGGTATTTTTAAGGATTTAATGGCAACCGCAGCCGGGCAGCCAGGCAGCCGGGCCCAAAACTTCGGGCTTGTTTGAATAAACAGGACACACTGTTGGCAATAAAACCAGCACAACTAACCAATAAACCCGGAATATCTATGGTTAGAGGGTCTTTCTATTTTTTATTTGGGCGGCCAAAAGCCGCAAGCGTTTTAAATATTCGAATGGACAACACGAAAATAGTTTCCGACTTGGCTGACATTTTCGTAGCTTTTTTCGGTCCAAAAGCCCGGGAATAAAGTTGTCACTTTACACACGATTGGGCGATGAGCTCCCAGTTCCTGTTTCAAGGAGTTGGATGCCTTAAATATTTCATGATGTGAACTGTGGCAGTCAATTCCGAGAGCTATTCGACGGCCAAACGTGAAAGATTTTCCCTTTACCCTGGATGTTCGGAATACTTTGATTTTGTCAGAATTTCTTAGTTTATTTTAAGGGGTATTTGGTTGCCGAACCTTATGGTTTATTACTGTCTCTTCAACGAAGTTTCCTGACTTGTAGGTTTTAATTTAGCTATTTTCAAAACGAATTATGTACATTTAAAAGTAGATAAAATTGCTGGCTTACCGACTTTGTTGAAAGGTTGAAATTTAATCGCTCGAAGTAACCAGTAGAGTTATTGATTTTTAATGTGGGGCCAATCATACGGAGAAGTTGTTAGGTAAGCCAATTCAAACTAGAAATTATCACAATGTTGACCATAATTATGTAATTATAATTTGTATTTTTTTTATGAAATATTGAAACTTTTCTAAGAAATATCAGTATGTAAAAGAAAGACTGCAATAAGAAATCTAAGAAATATCAGTATGTAAAAGAAAGACTGCTATATTTTGAAAATAGTGTTTATTATGTATTTAAAAAACGCAAGAAAAGTTGTAAGTTCTTACTACAATAATTTAAACCTTTTTTCTTGTTCAACCTTCCTGTTTGCAGCTTACAGGGAAAACTTAATTAAGTTCAATTAAAGTGTGCAGAGTCAAGCCAAAACTTGAAGCCGCAGACAGGCTCACCCACGAAAATAAAGTTGCGAAGGAAATTAGCGCCGTTTGCCTTTACCACAATTTCCAAATCACTCAACCCTAACTAATGCGATTCATTTTCGTGTAAGCTAGCGAGACCCAAACTTTTTTACCCACAAGTCACATGAAGGAAAAAAAGAGGAAAGCAAATCTGAGCTATAAATTCGGATATTTTGTATGGCCTTTTTTCGGTTGAAATTCAATAGCAGATAAATGCAGCTCACGATTCTCAACAAGTGCAGAGCCAAAGCCAAGGCTAAGTGCAAATTTGTCAATCTACCGGGAAGTCATGGAGAAATTGAGGGAGAAATGGGAAAATCGAAAAGGGTTGGTGATTGAGTGAGCGATGTGAGTCAGTTAGTCAGCGGAGTTAGTTCCCGCTTCAATCACTGTTGCAATTCCAGCTTAACAAACTTTGATGTTGTGTGTAAATATTTTTGACTGCATCGAAATTTGCACCATTTTCAGCTAGAAATACACATTTGTAATGTTTCCATGCCGTTTATTTAAATATTTCCAGTTTATTATATGTGAACATTTGTTTAGTGTTCATGTAAATTTTACCAGAATTGGAATTTTATGTGGATAAAGAAAAGTTTTTTATTTATTTTATGTGAAGTTAATGGTTTTACATTTTTTGAGCTACGGATTGCTTTGAGGATTAACATTTGCTGAGCAAAAATTAGAAGCTCTGAAATTATCCGTATGATTTTAAAATATTATTTTTTAATTCTATTCATTTTGGCTTTAATATTCATGGCACCAGCTTTTAATTTTCCTCTTGTATTCCCATTCCAAGGACAATCTGCATCCTTGTCGTGCTTTTTTGCTTGTTTCATATTTAATCAATTAAAAAATGGTGTGTACGTGCATATTTACGGTGCCACCCTCGAAGCTGGCTCATAAAAAGCGGGGAATGTCCCAAAACGGAGGATGAGATGCCAAAACCCCAAATGCACATGTGCAGTGCTCCATGAGGACTTCCCTTTCGAGTGGGGAATTTTAATTTCAAAATAATAATAAAAAGCAGCCACACCCGCTGCAGCTTTTCCTCATTTTTTGTTTTTGTCCCGTTCGGAAGCCTGACAATGACACGAAATTGAAGCAATGTCTGCGTGTTTCCCAGCTTTTGTCTAATTGTCGCTTCAGCCACCCGCCATCATAATGCAGTCCCCAAGGTCTCCGAGTGCATGGAAAAATGTTGGCATATGTTGCTCCTTTTTCAGTGGGTGGGGGGTTTTGGAAAAGGTTGGGCGATTTTCCGAGAGGAGGAAAATTCAGGGGGTGTTGGACCCCGTCGACCTGCGTGTGGGTTTGAGTGCGTGTCTGTGTGTTGGCAAACAAATTACAGCTGCTATTTTCAAATCATTTGGGGCCATAATTTAGGTGTGTGTCCGACTCCCACTCTCTTTGCGTGTTTTTGCCCTTCAAATGGTCAGCGCTTGTTGGTTTTTCCTCCTCTCGTTGGATCCAGGAAAATTGGGATGGAGATCTGGGGGTGGCATGCTGGAAAAGCGTTAAATGGTTTGGGTGCGTCGCCTGTCAAAATTAATTTGAGCTCGAATTTCTAATGGCCACGGTGGCAGGGACTATAAGTCCAATAAAAATCGAGAGATATATTAAAGACTAAGGAATCGTATTTAGGTATTTTGTAATATTTATTGTAGAAATAAATTTAAGAAGCATTCAATTATTTATATACTTTGTAAAAATAGGAGGTACTAAAATCTAATTTATTTTTAAATGTCGTTAAAATGAAAACTATCCAAGATAATAAAAGAATCTTACAAAATGTGCATATAATGTAAAATGTAATAATTCTGTTGAATTCCAACGATATAATTATACCTTCAATTTCTATGAGTCCAAGCCCGATTAAAAGAGCTTCCTTTGTTTATTCGGATGTCTCTGCCTATTGGCAATAACAATAATAACTAGCAAGTGCCAAAATGGTGGCACATAAATCAAATAGAGGACAGGGGCAGCTTCTGCAGTTGCCACCTTTATATGTACATATATACATATATCGTACATCAGGTAACAACAACAAATGGGAGCTGTGAAATTTTCGCATTTCGTGTTTGGCATTTCAATTGGAAAATGTGCGCACATTTGCAATGAAATTCAGCCAACAAACTGAGAATTTATGCCATCATTTTTTTGTTTTATGTGCGTTTGGCTGGAGGGCGTGGCACACACGCACACGCCCACAACAATCATTTTAAGTGTTTGCTTTTGTTTTTGGCCCTCCGTGGCAAAGAAAAAAATGCATTAACATTAATGCCGGCGCGCTTTTCTTTTGGCCTTTTTTCATTACACAAAATTATTTAATTTCCTGCAGGCGGCACGCATTTGATGAGCAACCGACAGGCGTTCCACCCGCTAAAATCCAGTGAGTTAGATTGGTGTGGGGCATGTGTCTACTGATGATGATGATGACGATGTCCTGTGAAAAGTTTACGATGCTGCTAACCATTACACCCTCCTGCTTTTTCTCTTTTCTTGCCTTCGAAATTTTCTTCTTGCTTTGAACTGGAAATTCTCGCACTTTTTTTCCCAACGTTTACTTAACGTTTATCGGGGCCAAGTTAATGACTTATGTGGGTCATTAGCATTTGAAGCTGGCCAAATGTTAAAGTTTTCTGTCTTAGCAGAAGAAGCTTGAAAATTTTTATCAGAAAAAATCAGGTTTACAAAACTGATTTAATGTCTGGTTCCCTGGAATCCCAAGTAATGCAATTGTGTCTTCTATGCATTGGTTATTGAAAATAAGATGTTTAAATATTTTTAAAACGCATTTTTAATAAGTATTATTAATGTCTAGAGGTTTAATTGAAACACCCTTTTTTAAATAAGACGAAATATTTAAAAATGATAATATTTATTTCATTTTTTAGTGAGTTGGGTTTCCTTTGGAGTCCGATTCCACCTTAAATTTTTTAACAACCACGTCGGCACTCTTCATCCTGGCAGATTTCGCATAGGGACGATCTCACCGCGTAGTACTCGGTGGCCCGTCGCTCCAGGACGTAGTAGTCGTAGAGGACTACGTAGGAAGGCTTCTGCAAGGCGACAGCGTGGACGAGGGATGCCGTTACGGTTACGCATTTGGGGTCACCAGGCGACAGGCTTTCGAAGTAGACGACCACCATGGTGTCGCCCTTCTTAGTCTCCACGATCTTCACATCGGGGGAGGACTTGGTCCTTTTCAGATCATCGGCATCGGCCAAGAAACCGGAGGGCAACTGGACCTCCATGACCGCCATGTTAGAGGGTTTTCCCTTGTCGCTCGCCTCAACGGGAGTGTATTCGGAGCAGATTTCGAGCTCGAGACGATTAATGGGCGAGTCCTTAACCGTAGTCTTTATCTTGAAACTGGGCGACTCCTCCTTGGTGACCACATTGTGGCGGTACGAGAGTTGCACCAAGGAAACACCCCTGCCCGAGGCCGAGACATGGACCTCTCGGGTGGTCTTCGGAAGCACGTGGGACTGCACTGTTAGCGCCTTTTCGGGGGTGACCTTAAGGGAGGATTTAGCTCCGAATTTGGAAAGGGCGAAGAGAATGTCCATGTCTCCGACGGGCAAAGACGTCTCGATAGCGAACTGGGTCAGGGCCTGCAGGCCCATAACCGTGTCATGGGTGGAGCGGAAGCCCCCGTTGCTGTTCCGCTGGGCAACCAGCCAGTCGGCGATGGTCATGGGCGAGTCCGTGATGCCGTGCTCCAGCATGGCGAGCAGCACATAGGAGGTCAGCTCGACGTCGTGGCTGCCAACGGAATTGGGCTTCTTGGACCACCACTTGCGGTCACCCTTGCGCCGGGCCATACTCTCCAGCCTGGCCAGAACCGACCCGGCCTTGGAGTTCTTGGCCTTGGCCAGAGCCAGGGCGGCGATGGCCAGGGAGTACTGATCATTGGAGCTGTTCACCTCGCAGGCCACGAATTGCACGGCCCTATCGATCACACGCTGGTATCTTGGGATATGCTCCTGCAAGGACAATAAGGAGGATAAACTTGGAGTCAGTCACAAATCCGCGTCAACCTAAAGAAAGGACTCACCTTGTTCTCGAAGAAGGTAAGCAGGACGTAGGAGGTGAAGGCCAGGGGATTTTTGATGTCACTGTATAGGGCGCCATTTACCGGGAACTCGCCGTTTTCCTTTTGTTTGCTGGCAAGGAAATCTAGACCAGCTGTCAAGAGAGAGGGATCTATGTCGGTGAACTTGGCTGCCATGTGGAAGGAGCGGATCACATAGGCAGTAAGCCAAGTACTGCTTGCAGCATTGGTGAAGACACTGAATGAGCCGTCTTTTTTCTTGAAGTACAGCTCCGTCTGATAGCCAGAGGCCAAAAACTTTTTGGCCTGCTTTTCGATAGCGGGTTCCCGGCGTTTGGTAGCCTCCAGGTAGCGCAGCACCAGGATGTTGGGCACGAAGTTTACCATATTCTGCTCTCCGCAGCCGCGGGGCAAGCGCACCAGATTATCAATGTTTGTGATTGTGGGGGCTGTTAAATCCCCTCCCACTTCTAACTCTACGAATTCGGAGTCGGGCACAATGTCCGTGGGTATTACGTCCACACTCAGCGTGTTCTCATAGGGCTCCAAACTTCGACGATGCAACCGATTCGCTTTGACTAAAATGGCTTTGTTGACGTACTTTGTCACGCCATCGGGCTCCACCTTTAGCTTTTCGAGGATGATGTCCTGGCCAATGGGACACTTGGCGATGATCTTCAGGATGGTCACTCCAATCTTCTTGGGGCGAATCATGAACGAGACGCTTGCGCCGGTGTTGGCTGGTATCCAGATTGCTTTTGACCTCTGTCCCTCCTGCAGACTCCTCGCCTCATTCGCATTGATGACCTCGGAGAACTCGTAATCCTGGTCAGAGTTGTCCATCGTCACCGTCGCCCTCACAGGACTATCCATGTAGTTGAACACCACCAACGGTATGGCTATAACTTCGCCTCGCTTTACGGAGTAGGGCAGGTTTGAGGATACGAAGAATGGCTTGAACACACGGATTTTGGAATGGCTCTTGGTCATGGAGAAGCCCGAAATCGGGTTCAGGGAAAAGCCAGTGATTACCCAGGAGGTGATCGTATCGGGAATCTCCTTATGCACCATTTCAAATCCATTTTCGGACACGCTTCGGGTGGTTGTAAATATATGTATTAACCCTTTTGGAAAACCTCAAAACACTTACTCAGTTATGTTCATAAACAGCCAGGTTTCTGGGAACTCCTGACGAATTGGCGGATGTGAAACTTCCGCACTGGTTGACTGCACAGACTTCACTGCAGCTGTTTGCTTTCCTGTGTATATTTTAAAATTGGCATCATTTAAACCGTCTGGGTAACTGATATATGACTTACCTTTATGCGAACTAGTGTACTTAAAATTCGTTCGACTTTCAACACCGCATGATCCTAAATATAAACCGTTTTTAATTGTTCAAGCTGTCTAGAAAACTACTCATCGTGGCTTACCATTTTCAAAGATACATTCGCCCCCCTCTTCAATGGTGCTTACATTTGCATTGGTTAGGGTCACCACGCCAGTTGACCCGTACTTTCTGAGATCGTTAATTACGTGTTCCTGGCTGAGGTCATTTCCAGACCTTAAAAACAGGACTTTCTGGTCGACTCCCAAGAGTCCTACGAAGGAATGGGGATCGGTCCTCACTTCCAGACTCACATTTTGGCCGGGATCTGCATTTTCCGGCACTCTGATTTCAATCTGAAATGAATATAATATAAATTATATCGAGCTGGGTCTACATTCCGTTCGTGTCCACCAACCGAGTTTCCAAAGTCCTTCTCAAATTCGATCGTTTTCTCGTCCGAGTGCATGACCCCGTTCACCACGTAGTGCACACAAATCGTGGCTTGGGGCATCATATCGACAGTGGGTTGGAAGCTGAAATGCTTATTTCCGACGTCCCGAGCTACTTGCACGTACTTATTAACGACGATTTTTCCACGAGCCACAACCGTGAACATGAAGTAGGGTAGGACCTCAGAGGATATAACTTGGAACTCAACTCTCTGCCTCAGATAGTGCCTGTATAGAAGGGTATATCACGGTTATAAGCATATATTGTTATACTCATATACTCACTTCGTGTTATTAAGCTCGATCCTCAGTGACTTTTCGAGCTTTGATATAGTTTGGGTAAGGTTGACTGCTCCTTCAAAAGCGGTGGACACCTCACATTTGCCGCACCTACTATCGGGAAACACCTTTGCTGCTTTAGCTACACTAGATATTAAGGGCTTCTCAATGATTTTTGAATGTCCACAGCATGAAAAGTTAAATGTAAGGTTGCTGGTGGGGTGCATGACCGCCGTACCGTCAACATTTGTGACCGCAACAGGGAAGGTAATGTTCTGTCCGCCCCTAAAGTTTTCTGGCCAACGGATAGCGATCAGTTTGTAGCGGTTCTGATGAAGTGTCACATAGGCGGAGCCATTCTGCTTGAGGTCCGTGAGCTCCTCGGTCACGGTGGCTACCACTTTCAGTGGCGACTTGTCGGTGGAAGCAAAGGGTAGCTCCACATTGACCTTTCCATCAATGTCGACGGTCTTCTCAGATCGGCCCCCCTCTATTGATATGGTGGCCTTGCCCTTCACCGGCTTGCCGAAGGAGTACTTGGCATAAATGGCCGTCCTAATATGTCCGTTGCTGGCCACCACGTGTTCAGCAGTGTGGATCCTGACTCCGAACTTCGGCAGCACGTACTTGTCCACCTTTATATCCTTGGTCACCCTGCCCTCGTCCTGCACCTGAACGGCCATCGTCCAGTTTCCCAGAACCGGGTGTTCGGACAGATTGAGCTCTCCGGAGAAAACACCTTTGGTCGGCTTGACCTCCTTCCACTGCTTGATGAGGTTCTTATCCCCGTCGTGGATCTCAATCGTGATGGGCTTGTCGATCCTGGCGGGGCGGGTTTGCCTGTCCAGGAAGAGGACTCTGAATTGTAGGAGGTCGCCCGGCTTATAGGTGGCCTTGTCTGTCTGGATGAAGATCGAGGCCTTGTCCTCGGACATGAAAAGCTTCTTGGATTCCTTGAAAATGATGCCCTGAAGACCCTCAGCTGTGAGTTGGTATTCACCACCTGTGAGTTTCGGGATATTGAAGGATAGTTTCCGGGTGGACATGGGCTGAATGTAAATCGACTGGGACCTGGTAAACGAGGGTCCGTCCAGGCTGACCTTAATTACACTGTCCATATCGGCACTATGCAGGGTAACGGCTACTTCATAATCGATGTAAGATTGTAGGGTGTCGGGTGCCACAACCAAAAAGTTACTGCAAAATATACAAAATTGTAACCATCAATCCAGATCAACTTTTTTGGCAGAAAAATAACTTAAAGATTAAAGCTCAACTTACCCCTTGGCGTTAATTATCAATACATATTGAAAAATAAAAGTCCATAGTAAAAACCACGTCATTTTGATGATTTTTTATTCGTATTAATCGTAGTCTTGACCAATCATCTCAATAAAACAGAGCACAGTGAAATATGATGCAAATTGCGACAGCTTTTATATAGCAGATTCAAGTTCTTATCTGTTCGGCCTAAGAGAGCAATCAGCAGACTTGGAACTGCCCACAATTAATTAATATATTTATAACAAGAATTGAAATAAATACATCAAATAAGAGTAATAAACATTAAATAGACAATGTGGAACGCTTGTGTTTGAGTGTCCCACTATCTATAAAGCGATCGCATGCAAAGACCATCATAATATCAGTTGTAATACAGTTGGTTATAGAGCATTAAAAGAGATTATAAGCAATGTTTTAAGCGTAAAACACAATCTTTTTAGCTTTTATTATCTGTCAACATACTCAGAATGACCCACAAATATTTGATGGTTTGCAGATAAAGCTAATGTGAAAATAAACATATTACTCATAGGGAAAAATAAGTAATGATGTTTGTTTAAGTCAAATTTGCCTTTTTCATTAACTGGCACCAAGAAAAGCATCCTTGTCAGCCTTGGGCGACGGATGGCATTCAAAAAGTGCAATCACTTGGCGGAATAAAAATCTGTTTGTAATAATATTCATCAAAAGCAATAACCTCAGCTGGTGGAGACACCCCTTTCAGCAACCCTCTTTTTTTCCTTACTCAGAATTGATATGATATATAAAATTGCATTTATAAGCAATCATGTCAACGCCAAGAGAAATATGAAAATATGAAAACACATCACCCTCAGCCCTTTTGGGAAAGTGAAGAGTGACGTGTGGCTGATTTCCGTACATGCAAGGGGTTTTCGAGGAGGAAGTGGTGGTAATTTTGCCACAAGGAACAAATTCACTTCACACCTACGCAGTCAACAAAACATGAAATCGAAACGGAAGTTGAGTGCACAAGTGTGAGACTTCTATTCCAGCAGGAAATGCATTTGGCCTGACTTCACTTTTGGTGTCAACTCTCCTTCTGCGTACTTACAAGTATTTGGCGCCATTAAATTTATTTTCTTACATTTTCTCCTTTTTTTTGAGTGAAATGAGAGGAGACAAGTTTTATGCTTGTTTGTCGGCTGCCTGAGGGCGTGAAATGTCTGGCTGGAAAATAAATTCCGTCTTAAGGTGGCACATGTGATGTGAGGGCCAAGGGATTTCAAGGGACCTTTAAATAAAAAAAGATTTTATATAAAACCCATATAAATGCATATACTTTTTTTAAGTGATACTCATTTAAAGAATATAATAATGTACATAACAACGTAATTTATTAAAAGACAAAGCAAAAACAATTCCCATATACCCCAAGCCTTATCGGTAAATTGCTTTTACGAAGCTGCCCCATGACCTCTCCAAAGAATAAACGCAAATGAAATTATTTTAGAACCTGCAAAATCTGCTCCGACTGAAACTTCTGTCTTGCGAACAGCTCATTAACAAAAATAAAATTCGAGGTGGGGAAGTGCATCTTTCGGGAGCTGCTTAAAAGCCATTCCGAAAATAAGTGGTTTTTGAGGCATTTAAAAGCCCAAAGTGTCAGTCTGTCAGTCAGCACGGCACTTGTGCTCAATCAGCGGGTGAAAATTCATATGGAGAATGGGGACTTTTGTGTGGGCGAGTGTGTGTGTAGAGTGGGGGAGTATGGGAACCCCATAACTCAGGGTCCAATGAAGTGTCCCAAAGTATCTGTTAATAGGTGAGCCTGTCCATCAGTAAGAAAAATATATAATTATGTCTGCAGAATCCTCACTTTTATGGTCGGCATTAAAAAAAATCTTTTCCCTATTTTATGGCTTTAAAGCGAAAACGGTAGACAAAATGCCAAAAGCTTGTTAGGAGGAAAAACGCTTCACTTCACGAGGAAGCATTTACATTTTGACTGCTGCCCCTGAAAACAGTATCCGCATCAGCATCATACCACATCAATCAACGGCACTGGGCAACATTAAAATGGTAATTTAAAACCGCGGAGGAAGCCTCAGGATCCAGGCAGTCGGAGCAGGAGACAGGGAGAGCTCATCATGCCGACGTTTTAATGATTGGCCGCTGGCTCCGTTCCGTTGGTCCGACGCTATGCAAATGGCATCCTCCGAGTCCCAGCTCCCAACTCGCAACTCCCAACCACCTCCCCAAACTGACTCGTAAATCAAGGTTGCAACACCTAACCATCCTGAGGGAAAACCCCGGGGACGGGGAAACCGTAGAAAAGGTGGAAAAGCGAGCCCGGTGCAGACGCAGTAAAGTGTTTTGAGATATGTCACCCGTGGGGCGTTTTTGTCATTTCAGAAAGTGTTCAATCAACTGTCAGCATCCAGAACTCCCCGCCCACAGATTGAATATTCCTTGGCAGATATATGGTGTCTGTAATGGTAGCCAGAAAAGCTTTTAGCTATTGTCACTTAAAAATGTCTGGAAAGGAATTGGGTTTTATATTCTGTTGTGTCTTTGTTTTTGAATGTTAAATATGACATACTGAACCATTTTATAACTTACTATAAACAAATGCATTCAACAAGAGACTTACGCCAATTAACCTCTTTGTATAACTGATTTAATAACGCATTTGTGGCTTCGTAATCCTGGCATTGTTTATTGGATCTCCTTTAATTTAAGACCCATCTCTCAATCCTACTTCCCAGCTTTCATCGGTGCAATTAGCCATTCATAACTCATGTAAAATAAACAACGCAGGCAGCCACTTGAAAGGCATTTAAAATCCGCTTAGCATCAGCTTTGGCCAAGCGAAATCACAGCAAATGACCCACAAATGAAGCTGAAAATACGAGCTCTGTGTACTTAGAGTCCCCCGTTGTTGCCCCTTCCCTTAAAGCCCATTCCGCCCACGCCGAGTGTTAAGTTTCCCAACATGTTGAAAGACCGGCAGCGGGGGATTCTTTCTCAAGTGTCTCATATGACCGAGGGATCCCGGTCTCTGAACCAGACCCCCAACACGAACCAGTTAGCTGCCACATTAAACTGAACTTAGCATTAAGTTGAGCGGCTTCCGTCATAACAAACACTTCTGCACTCCTTCTGGGGTAACCAAATACGTTGGCGAGTGCGAAACAGTTTCTCATATTACCCAAGAAAATATTTGTGATTTCTTGGAGCTGGAGTTTAATTAGTCGTCGATATTAGAGAGCTATTAAGATTTGTAGTCATGAGAAGAAACCACTTAGAATCAGATTTTTATTCTTTAGCCAGAAATATTATATTCGAATAAACAAATCAGACTCAACCACAATGATGACTATCTGCTATTTAGTTTTAAACAACAAATGCTAAATTCAATATTACTTTACCTACAAAGTCTAATAGTTAACTGGAAATGTTATGCTATTTCCTGTGCTAATAACTCTGGGATTGTGGGAGTTTGTCCAAACTAGGAGGCACAAAGTTAACTGGCTTTGGGAGTTGAGCCACGTTCCCCAAGCAATTTCTGGCTTAAGCAATTATTTGTCTAAAGTAATTGCCAATTGGTCGCTGAAAAAGAACGGCCAGAAAAGACAATGCAGACGAGACATCAAACAATCAAAGAGCTTCACTCCATAATGTCTGCTGACTTTGACTTTGAGGGGGAAAGAGATTTGACAATTGTTCGCGCTGCTTGTTAGTTGTCCAGCGATTTCCGTTTCCGCTTTCACCGACTCTAACTTTACAACTCCCACTCGAAATGGATCTGTAACTATAGCCACTGGGATACGGTGTCTGGCATTGAAATGGAAACAAAGCCACAATGCCAAAGTCAAAGTCAAAGGCAGGCGAGAAATTGGCAAAGCTGGGTGAAGACTGGCAAAAAGGAGTGAATTGGCAACTGGCAAATGGTGAAAGGGATTTTAACAGGGGTCCTAGCCATCATTGGTATTTTATTAATAGTCCAAGGGATAGCTGGCGGCCCTTGGATCAAAATTTCTGCTGCGTGGCTGCTTTTGGCATTCATTTCGTAACCCCAGACGCCTTTTGTCTGGCCCGAAACAATAACAACAAAGCAATGAAATCGAAAAACGTGCTGTTAGTCCTCCAACCCCAAAATAAAAAAGGGAATTTTTATTTGCCGTCTATCGGCATTATTGACTTTGGGCTCTCACCGTCAGCTGTGACCAGCAGGAAAAATAGGAAAGGAAACAGAGTCGGGAAATGGAGCAGGGGCAGCTCCATCGTCTGCGGTTTGCTTGGGAAAATAGAAGGTTACATAAAAATAATATTTCTCGCTTACTGGCTTTTTTCCCCATTTATGTCTCGTTCCATTTGTGTTTGCATTTCAACTTTCGTTTTCAATTTACGGGGATTTCTTGCTGCCCTTTTCAGATGGCCCCCCATAAAGGGGGTGTAAAATGCACCTGAACTGCAGACAATGGGCTTTATATGGCAGAGGGCTTTTTTTTAAAAGAGATGAAAGGTAAAGTAAAATAGAAAAAAGAACATGAAAAAGATAAAAAAAGCGCGGTTAAATGAAAAATAGCTTTGTGGTTAATGAAAAGCCTTTATTGACATTTCATATCAACACTTGCTGGGACTTGAGTTATTATGTCTTATTCTTCTGAAAGCAATATACATTTCCTTAGCTTATCGAAGTTTTGCCGAGAGTTTCGTTTAAATTCTAATACTTATTCTTGCTCTTAAAATGAATGTTGATTTCAAAATTAGTTAATGCTACTTACTAATTAATAATTAAACCTCAAGGAAATCGAAATCGTTTTCATTTTATATTATTTTTTCCAACTACTTTTCTTCAATGACTTGTGCAAGTTAACCCTTAAGCATCATCCTGCTCAATGCCAACAGCTCCTAAGTGGTTACATTTTCAATTGCCGCTTATTACATGGATTTATGTAATTAGAATAAATGATGATTAAAATCATTAAAAAGTTTCGCTCAAGCGCATAAATCTCCGGCATAATTCGATTGCCGGCGATGAGTTTTAATCAAATTGCCAAGAGAATTTAGCAGACATCGTCTGTCAGTCTGTAAGTCAGTCAAGGGCCACAGAGCTCATCGATTACATCTCATCAGACAGGGAAGGAGATGGGTGGATTCGCTGTGGAAAGAGGGAGGTGATGTGGTTGTGGTTGTCGGCTTAGTGTTTTGGAGTGTGGCAAATAAATTGACATTTAGCTGTGCGTGTAACAAGATCAAGTATACGCAACGTCGCCCTCGCCAGCGAAGACGTCGTAACTTTGATTTGGCAGCAAAGCGAGAATACGCTCCTCATTAATGTTGCATGGCCCTGCTGCCCCATCGAATTGGCAAACAGTTTTTGCTACATTTTACAAAACGGAAACCCAACTGACAGCACAGCAAACCAAGTTTTTCCCCTGACAAGAGGTCATAGGTAGTACGTCATGTTGCTGCTTAGTGCAAAAAGTGCTGCAAGTATATGGGAACACAAGGAAATCTATAACATGCCACCTGACATTTTGATGTGGCGATTAGTTCGTGTCCTGATTGTGTCCTGTTTGCTGTGGTTGTTCTTCTAAAGCGGCAAAGTTTGTGCAATAGAAGGAAATCAGGGATGGAAAAATGTTATAAATTATACTTTAAAATTTAATGGTTACATACTTCCGGAGAAGTATGCATATTTTATGAGGGATGCAAGTTTTTTAAACTGTTAATACAAGGTAAAGATAAGAAAATTGCCCTTTTTTCCTAAATATTTATTTATTAGCTTTACAAGCTAAATTTTAAATTATTTTTCAGTTTATGTAAGCCCCTTAGTTTTCGAGAAATAGTTCACGCTCTGCAGCCCTGAAAAATCATACATGCGTGCATTTTAAGACTCCACACAGACACACCTACACCCACATGTTGGTAATGTGCAACAGCGTGTTGCATGTGCAACAGCAACTTCTTGTCCGATCTGACTTAAGTTAAGTTGTTAGCCCTGCTGACAGTGATGAAAACTTTGCTGACAGGCCGAAAGTTGCCAGGAAAATTGGTTACTTAACGGGCACAGAGATGCGGGTTGGGAAAGCCACGGCTGAGTGGGCAATCGATAAAGTTATCGGCTATCAGGCACAACTTGGCAGAAGAGGGCTAGCCAACTCTTTTCATTTTCCCTTAGACAAGTCTGAGTATTTCATGCAACATACAAGTTTTCCACATTACCTGACCTAGATTTCGCCATGTTTTCTTTTCAGAACGATGTTATAATTGCCATCAGGCAGCCAGGCAAACAGACTCCCACTGGAGGACACTTCATCTGCAGCCAGGTGAGTTCCAATTACCAATCCCCCTGCTCTGCGGAAATGCCGTATAAAACCAATTTTGTGGCCCTCGCACCTGTTGAAGTTTTTGCCATTGGCTGCGAGCAGGTTTAAAGAAGTTTCCATCACATTTCCTGACCAGAAACTCGGCAAAGAGGGAAGAGACTTTAATGCAACACGGAAATGCCAGAACGGAGCTCTGAAATTTGCCAAAAGCTCTCTTCATTTCCGCAAAAAATGCAAAAGCGAAAGAGGATGTGGGGGTGGAGTGGCAAAGGTAAATAGGGAAATGGCTGAGGGACCCAAGTAAAAGCAAAAGTAAAAGTCCAAGACCAACAATGTGGATCTGCTAAAACGCTTTGGGGAACAACTCCAGTCAACAGTTTGTTGCCACCACCTCGCTTTTCCTCTCCTTCTAGTTCTTTAGGAAAACTTTTGACAAAAATTTAATTAAATCCATGTCAAAGTCAGGATATGGAGAGAAAAATAACCGGGAGAAAGTGCGTGCTTCAATGTCAAAAGGACCACGAAGAGCAACAAGTCGCTAAATATTTTGTCAAACTCTGTTTTCTAGCAACTTAAAAGTTAACAGAAATAAGCCGATTTGTGTGGAAAAACCTTTCAATGGAAAGTATATTCCGCATTCGGTAAATATTATTCCATAAAAAACATGCCTGTTGCCCTGGTAATAATGGTTGCTTTGACTAAATAAATTTAAATTACATTTACGTGCTTCCTTTGGCATTCTCTGCCAGTCAAGGGGAATCGCATACGAGCATCATGAATAAATAAATTTTATGCGTAAAAATAATTCAATTATAGGCACCACACATGTGTGCGTGTAGGGTTCCTACCAGCCCGACTTTCCCTTCTGTCCATTTCAAGGGAACCTCTTTGTGGTTCCAGCCCTCTGTTATAAATAAATTGCTCGAACATTTTTTGGGCCTGCTGGAGTCAGTTCATTGATTTTCATTGATTTTGCTTTTGATTTATTTTTACCGAATATAAGGGAAAAGTCCGTGATGAAAATACTCGTCTTTGTGTTGAGCCGGAAAGGTGAGCTTAAATCGATTTGCATTTTTTAAAGAGTAAATTTAACAACTCTGAGGTCTCTAGTATTTTTTTAACTGCTGACTTTCATGCTTAAATTAACTTTTCCTTTGATTTTTCCGTTTCGGAGTTCCAGTTCTTGATCATAAATCACCATGGCTGAATCAACAGGTTGCCAGAGTCAACCCCATTTTTCAACTTGGCCACCATTCAATTAACAATTGAATTTATATGTGTAACAGCGGGAATGGAAGAAAAGTCCCCCAAATCGATGAGCAGACATTCGAAAAGTCTCTCGATTCTCGCTGCCAGCTGCAATTAAAAGGCAATGAATTCAGATCTTTCACTCCCTTCAACTCCGCCCCCTTTCCACCCACAATTCCGCCCACTCTGCGCCAGAGAGGGGGCGTGGCCAGCTGTCGACTGCCTTGGAAAGTGAGGAACACTTAAGCGAAATTGTGCGCCAACAGCTGGCTTTAAGCGATGTCAGTTTTAATTTTTTCTTGGGCTGCTTCTTGTAATTTATCGATTTAAATGGCATTTGGGAATCTGCAAAATGTTAAATTAGTTTTTATGTGAATTTTTAATGAATCAAAGTTGTTTTTTCTACAATTCCCAAAATATTGCCACATTTTCTCAGTAGAACTCGATTTCCCAAGCCCTTTTCTTTGTGCCTAATAAAATTATGAGCATGTTAATTCTTGCCTCTCATTTAGCTGCCAATTAATAAATTTTCGAAAATTCCATGTCCCTTTATTTTCCTCATTTTCTTTTTTCCCCTGCTGTGCTGCCCTAGATGTGTCTGGCATATTAATGAACATTTGTTTTCTTTGCCTGAAAATTTTGGGGGGTGAAGAAAATTTATGTGCTCAGGTTAAATTCCTGGGATTCTTTTTTGTCGTATTTCGGTGTTTGTTAAGTTCTGTTCATTTGTTAAATTAATTTATGTTTGTTGACTGTGAAATTTTTACAACATATTTTGCGTAGGCAATGAGTGGAGTGGGAAAGTAAACTCACTTAACCCTTTTGATAAATGCGGAATTTAAATATTTGTGACAAAAACTTAATGACAACTGTTGGGCAAGTAAAAAGTTGGGAAAGACATAGCTTCTCAGAACAAAATCTATCCATTTAAAACTTAATTTTATGCTACATTAAACTCGACATTTTCCACTTGTTATTTTCCATTTTCTGCTTTATTTTTCCGACCTGACCCACACATTATCTGGAGACCAACTTCAGTACCACGGCCCACATATGGTGCCATAAATATTCGGCCAGGACACACCCACTCCCTGAACTTTGACCCAAATTTTGAGCTCATTTGCATGACACTTCTCTTGAAAAAGCGAGTGTGAGACTCGAAAAATAGGGACTCCCTTAAAGTGAATTAAATAAAAGAACTACTCAAATATTTAACGGAACATATAAACTCATATGGGGGCCCCCTTAACCCTTTAATGCCTTCCTGTACGAAAAGCAGCCCCCAAGTGGGCAATCCAACAAAACAAAGGAACTGTGCGAAACGGGACTCTAATTGTTATATGTTTATCCGCAAAAGCAAACTATGACCGCATTAAGAGAGCGAAGGACCTACCCCAAATCTAGATATATTCACTTTTTTGACCCTTTATTGCTATGTGTATGTGCCATATCCCTGTAGTGCCTTTCCGACTTGACTTTGGCCATTTTTTAATGTGCGCCAGTGGCTCGGGACTCGGTACTCGGCACTCCGGCTCCCAAAATGTATTTCACTTCATTTTTTATTTATGTGGATATATGTGTTCGTGGCACCTCCCCTTCTACCCCCTCATCCTAGAGGGGAGAAAAAAGGTTTGCGTGCCAAATTATTGTGCCAGTGGCCTAAAGTTCCTTTTTTGCCGCCTTTTTTATTCCAACTGCCTCATTTATTTCCTGCTCTTTTTGTGGAGCTCGGGGCAGCAGCCAAAACGCAAAGTGCGTTGTACTCTCTTCCTACATACACATATATTTCGGGAGCTGACTGTCCAAAAAATATCGATTGTAGGAATGTTCCATACGGCGTATGGGAAATACGTGGTTACGGAGCGAAAGGTTAATTATTCAAATATATATATATAAAGGTAAGGGGAAAGGGAATGCTTTATTAATTATATTAAATTATTTACAATTATTGATCCCACTTTAAAGTTACCTATAAGAGTATTTATTTGATTTTAATAAACAAGACTGTATGAATCGGTAAAGAATTCTCTTTTTATGCCGAATATGCCTAGCAATACCTTAATAATTGCTAAACAGTATTGAACTTTAAAGGGAATACCATTACATTTAGTGTACTAGTTAAACAAACATTAATGAAATGTATGCTTTATTAAATTTTATTTTAATTAAAAGTAAAAATTTATTGTTATTTTATTAAAGTTTTAATCTACTTAAATAACGTTTGAATAAGTTTTATTCAACTTCACATAAGTTGCAGATTAAAAGTAACTTCCCGTTGTCTTAGATTTTTCTTAGACCTTGGTTTATTTCCCCTACTATTTCTGGATCCATAAAGATCTTAGAGCTTGAGTGCTGCAACTGCTGCTATATCATCTGAAGCTTAAGCGGATGGTCACACACTCTAAAGCATAAACTTGCTTTTCCTGCACTTCCGCTTCTTGCCCCACTTTTCACTAACTCAACTTTATCCTGGCCATAACACGGCACAATAAAAACGAGTTAAGGATCTCTAAACCATTTTAAACATTTAGTGCACCGCAGCGGCCCAAAAAAAAAGAAAAGCTGCATATAAAGATAAAATATTTCATTTGCCAACCTCTTATATTTTTTTTGTGCCAGCATTCAACGTTTGTAGACTTAATGCAATTGTCGCATTATTTCTCCGGCCACTTGGCGAAGCACTCTGCGAAATGATATATACACAGAGGCAGATATATATAAAAGTATATATATATATATTTTTAAATACCTCACTCGAGTGTTTTTTTTGGTGGCGGTTTTGTTGTATTTTGGTTTTTATTTTGCCGCATGGCGTCTCGTCTGGCGTCTGCCACGGCGTCTGCAAATTCAGTGGAAAAGGGGGAAAATAGGGGCAAATAGGGGACAGCGGGGGGAGATTTTCTCCTCGGGATGGGAAATGTTATGTGTGTGTGTGTGTTTCGGGCTGCTTGTTTGGCTGCTGCCCCGGGTCTCTTGGTTATTAAGCCATTTTCATTCCCCACTTTTTGTTGCAAATCAAGCAGAGTGTTAAAAAAAATTAAATTAAATTAAAATTCTTGGCCAGCGGAGAGCCGTTGCACATGTGCGCAAAGTTTTTCATTTTCCCAGACCGGCATTTGAAGTCTTAGTTGATGCACTTTCTTTTTATCCTTTAAGTCTTTGTTTTGAGGACATGGCTTAATGAACTTTTGTTTGATAAAAAACGCTAAAGCCTGTATGGAATTGATTATTTTGTTTTAAATTTTAACGTTAAAAATAATTTTGTATTATATTTGTTATGGAATTTAGTTGCTAAAAAACTCTTCAGCCGAAGTTTTATAGAAAAATTATATATATACGTCGAAAAGCACTACTTTTTCAGGACACATTTTTGCATACATTTCTGTCGGGTTTTTGGCAGCCACTAATTGAACAAACTTAGACCACTCAGTTTACCCTCCGCTGGCCGAAAGAACTAAACAAAACAAAACTCTTATTTGCCTGCCAAGCGACCAACAATTGCATTAATTATGCGTGCAGTGAAATCTTTTTGGGAGTGGGAAAATGCTGGCAGAAAAGCGGTGGAAAGCGTTGGAAAAGTGGTGCAAAGAGGGGGGATGATTTGAGCACTGCACTATGGCGACAACAGCAATTCATCTTTGATGGCGAATGCCGGCAAAACTCATGAACACCCAGGCCCCGGAGACAATTTGTGCGTGCAAAATCTGGGAATTCATTTCTTTGTTTTGCCTTCGCAGAGTGTTTGCCTATCCAATAAGTCTTTGGTGAAGACGAGGGAACCAGGGAACGGGGGAACGACCAGGAGAGACCCAGTCCCGTGAAGAGGAGCAAATGCTAATCTTGATAAAAATAAACGCACTCGGGCACGTTGCTACACGCGAAGAAACATTTTAAAAACGATAAAGATAAATATATATTTAAATATCTTTAAGATCAAGAGTATTTGGAATTTAAGTTTTTCAAAAACAGAAAATATTTAAAGTACAAATTTTTTTTTAAACATATCAAAAGCTTCGTCTCCATAAATGATTACTTAATCCAGTATAATAAATGTAAAACTAAATAGTTACATTTGTTTTCTTTAATTTGGATGCTGAATGTGAAAAAGCTTTGACTAGAACAGTTTATTATACCCGTTACTCGTAGAGTAAAAGGGTATATTGTATTCGTGCAAAAGTATGTAACAGCTAGAACGAAGCGTTTCCGACCCTATAAAGTATATATATTCTTGATCAGGGTCACTAGCCGAGTCGATATAGCCATGTCCGTCTGTCCGTCTGTCCGTCTGTCCGTCTGTCTGTCCGTCTGTCTGTCCGTATGAACGCTGAGATCTCGGAAACTATAAAAGCTACAAGATTGGCATTTTGCATGCAGATTCTAGGAGTTCCTACGCAGCGCAAGTTTGTTTCAAAAAGGTGCCACGCCCCCTTTAACGCCCACAATCGCTTATATACGATTTTAAAAATTTAAATATTTCGGAAAAGTAAAAATGCAGTTTTATTGTGTTTATCAATACCTATCGAAATGTAGAAGAAATTTTTCAAATCGGACCATTCGTTAAAAAGTTATGCGTGATCATAGTTTCTATCTCCATCTCCCTCGCACTCCCTTTACCTGAGTAACGGGTATCTGATAGTCGGGGCACCCGACTATAGCGTTCTCTCTTGTTTTAGTATGGTAGATTCAAGTACAACTTCCATGCTTAAAAAAAATGTTGTTTTTTATTTTGGAAAGTATTTTTACACAGGCCTTTTTTTATTTTAGATTTATATATAATTTTTTAAACATAAAATTGTAAAAGCCTTGCTAAAGCTAATAATCAAATAATTGTCTAACATAATCGAGGGTGTCAGATTTCTGTGTCACCTCCTCATATTTGCCTAGCAATATTTTTCACTGTGTAAGGGGGTGCGAGGAGTGCTAAGACAGCATCTCACGTTTTTCGTCGCATTTTCAATTTGCTTGGCATTTGCCTTTTCCCTGGCCATTGTCAGTCGGAGTGCCGCTCCCCTCGCCGCCCTTTTCCCTGACTAAGTGAATATTAATATTGACTTTGTGTGCTCCTCGCATAGTTCACAAAAGTTTTTCACCTTTGATTGCTCGACTCGCTTCCCGGCTTCCCTGCGATATTTCCCTACTTGTTCTGCTTCTGAATGCGGCTGCTGCTGAACCCTGACCTCACCTCAAATCCACCCCACACACCCGCGACCCTCGATTGCCATTTGTGGCCTTTAAAGTCAATGGCATGCTCAGCGGTTCTTTTCCTGGAAAATTTATGTGCAAACTTTATGCGTGGCTCACAGAGTCCTTCGTTTTTCCTTTTCTTGGGAAACTCTCGCTATTTCTATTATCAGCATTTGTTGCTCTGCTCTGTCGCTTTTTTTTTGTGGCTCCCTCCTCCCACTTTGACATTATTTTCCCATTTTTATGGCATTTAAGCTCAAATGAGGAACGTGGGATAAGGATACGACACCCTCGATTCGGGTGTCACACCTTAAGAATTTTCCCAGGAAACAAGCTTGCTCACCTGAACAAAAAAAAAAAAAAACAGACTCCAACAATGTCAATATAATTAAATGAAGCTTATAAAACTGAACAGGAAGGCGAATTTTAGCAGAAGGTGGGAAACTGTCTTGGGTCGCACATACAACTTTGTTGATTGGATTTCTGGTTTAGCTGCAGTCATAAACTGAATGAATATGGTGGAAATGGAAAGTAGGAGAAAAATCCAGGAGGACGACAAGCCTAAATGAGATGAGAAGGTGCATGGAGGCAAGTTTCAGCTTATAGGTGGCTTAAAGCTGTAATCCTTGAAAAGAAAATCCTTATTGTATGAAGAATGATATTATAAAAAATATTTTGTAAGCTTCCTCCCGTTTCTTATTTTAAAAATACAAACATACAAACTCATACAAATATGTGTATTAAAGAAAATTTAACAAGAATGGAAGAAAACTTCGGAAAGGCGAAGCTTATAGACACTTTCAGCTGTTACATAAATAAAATATTATATATTTTCCAAAAAATTTTTTAAATACATTTTTTCTTAAAATTCTCGCTTTAAAAATTGAGCAAATAAAAGTATGATTTACCTATTTGATTTACCTATTACAATAAGAATATAAAATCTATAGTATTTCAAAGAAAAAAGCTCTGCAAAATGATTGCACAAGTTTGTACAATATAGTGTGAATTTACTTTTTTTATATTGAGAAAACAAATATTTAAGAACAGCATAAAACCATTTTTCTCATTTTTACCTTAAGTTCTTACTTTAAAAATGCGTTGACATCGCTTGCACTTTTCGTTGGGCTTCCGACAGGGTTAGTTAGCCTTCATTTAATTAACCCATTAAAAGCAGCCCGCTTCGATCTCTTTAGCTTCGATGGAAAAGCGAGCATTCAAAGTGCAGGCTGCAACTTTCGACTTGTTGGCCTTTGACAGGCCCCAAAACCATTTCCAACAATCAAGTTTGCTTTCAAAATATTTGCCACAATGAAATCATGCCTGTTTGTGTGTGGAGCCTACCCCCCTTTTCGAAGCCCCCCTCCACTTATAGGCCTCCGCCCATGCCTCAAACAGTTTTTTTTGGGCACAAGAGGGGTCAAAGGGGGTTCAAAGTTGAGTTCGCTTGGCGTGCGAAAGTTTATTAAAAACTTTGTGTGCTTTTTGCAAACAAACACAAACACACTCCCCCTACCGCACACACACACACACACACAAACGTACTTTTTGCTAAAGGAAGAAAACAACAAGAGCAACTGCCATGTGAAACTTAATAATTCACACGGGAGTGAATTTTTCACAATTTTCACTTTTTTCCACCGTGGAGGTTGGGGCTTTTTTCACCAATTTTATTGAAGCGTAAAATATGAACCAGAACCACAAGCTGAATGAATGAATGAATGAATGAATGGTTGGGAGGAGGACGAAACTCTCTGTGAGCTTTTAACTTTTGTTGACATTATGAAACCTCAAAAGTTTGCGTTTTGCTCTTTATTATTTGTTTTACAGCTAGTTAAGGCCATTGTTCCCAGTGTATGTGTGTGTTTAAGGGGGGGCCAAAAGAAGAGTAGGAGGGGCACTATAACGCGCTTCTTCTCGGCCCATTGTCTGTGCTTTTGTATGCAAATCAGAGTCGGAAAGACAGACACTCACAAGTGGAATTGAATCGCTCACTGGCCCCTTTTCCATGTGTAATTTGTTAATTACTTAATTGAGTGTTGCCGCTGGGCAAATATATAATTTAAGTCGTTTATGCGATTAGTTTGGTGTGGGGGGAACTTCAATATAATGTTACAGGTTCCCAAAAGTATGCTTTCTTATCCGATGAGAAATTATCTGATATTCTTAAATGACTGCAAAAGATAATGATTCACATAAACTATCTGAATCAAAAGGATAAAATATTATTTTTTTTTATTTTTATAATTTTAATTATATTTCACACATACAATTTTACATTCTATTTCATAAAATTTGGGCTGAGTTAATACGAAATAATTTGATGTCCTCAAAACTTGCTTAAATTTGGAGCTGTTGGAGCATTAAATTAAATTGTAAATGGACTGTTTTTTGATGATTTTAAGCCAGCTTTTTGGTCGCTATATTAGATTACAATACCATCGGCTTTTCATGAATATGCATATTTTTTTTTTATGCCTGAAGCGGGAGCTCATCATGGCCATAACTATTAGACGGTCCGACCGACTGCATTATGCAAAACTTATAAGCCATAAAATGCAGCCGACTGGGCCTAACCTGCCCCCCCTCCCCCTCCACCTCCCCACCCTCGTCCTGGTGGTCCTGTCTGGTAAGTCAGCAACTTTCGAATGCAAAGTTGTCAGCACAAAAAAAGTTAACGCCGAGAGTCCTAACTCTCTCCCACTTAATTTCTGCAGCTATACGGTTCTCTGTCTGCGTCTCGACTTTTATGAAATATTAGCTACCAACTTATGCACATAAATCTTGCAGTGTCGTAGAGAGACTCCTTCGCCGCAAAAGTTTTTCGTGAATTCCACGAAAAAAATAACAAAGAATAGAGGACCTCCCAAAAAAAAAGGTGTGAAAAGAATGGAGCAGTCGTTGAGTACTTTTAAATATCACATTTCAAATTGCAAAGTATCTTCATTAAAATATACACTAATTTGGACTGCAAGTTCTCAAATTACATTGGATGGGGAATTGCGGAATCTTTTTGTGGTTTCATTTATCCACGTAAAGCTATTCGAAAATTTAGCTGCAGAAGAGATGCCTTTAATTGAAATTTAAATAAAATTGCACTGGATTTTTGTTTTTGTTGACCACCAGGATCTGCCAATGCCACTGTTTCCCTACACTGATAATGCATTGCAATATTAATTATGCATTTACTTAATTAATGGACATAAATAACAAAATTAATTTCCGTAATCAAACCGATGAGTTTTAACCATATGTCATTATTTATTTAACGAAATTCTTGCAGCACTAGGAAGCTGTGATTTAATCTGTTTAAAACATAAATAACAGTTTCCCGTTATTGATATTTTTGCAGAGCCTCTTCAGTTGCCAAGATGTGCAGCAACAAATGGTGGTAACATTTTCGGACCACAAACTGGACAACAAATAATTATCGAGTCGAGAGGAAGCACCCACAAGGAGTGAACACAAAATGTCTGACCACAAACATGCCACCACAACAAGGAGCAGGCCATGGCTAAGTGGAGCCATTCCAGTGCTGCTCCTGCTCCTGAGCCTGGTGATCCTGCCCCCGGAGTCCTCAGCCTTCTGCCCCTCGAAGTGCCAGTGCCTGGGTGGCGAGGCCAACAGTCGGGCGTTGTGCGTGGACGCCGCTCTGGAGGACATGCCCATCCAACTGAACCCGGAGACGAAGTACATCAACCTCACGGTGAATCGGATACGTGACCTGGCATTCTCGCTGCCTTTCTACGCGAAGCTGGAGATCCTGGATCTCTCGCAGAACATCATCGAAACGCTGGGCTCGAAGAACTTCGAGTACCAATCGGAGCTGAGAACTTTGAACCTGAGCAGGAATTTGGTCAGCTCCCTGCACAAACACGCCTTCAAGGGACTGACCAATCTGCTGCTGCTGGATCTCAGCTTCAATCGCATCGAGACAGTGCATCCCACGGCCCTCAGTGATCTGGCCTCTTTGGTGGAACTGGATCTCACGAATAATAATATTGTCAGCTTGGAGGACAACTCCTTCAGGGGCATGAGCACCCTGGAGGTTCTGGTATTCCGGAACAATCGGCTGCTGGACGTTCCGGCCAGCAATCTGTGGCATCTGCATGCCCTCAAGAGCCTGGATATGTCCTTGAACCTCGTCGAGTTTGTGCGGAACGATAGTTTCGAGGGCTTAAAGGAGCTTTTGGCCCTCAGTTTGCAGGGCAATGTCATGAGCGAACTGGACTTGAACGCCTTTGAGGGACTCATCTCGCTGAAACATCTCGATCTGGCCGATAATAACCTAACGGTAAGTTTAAGTTTTACCAATTGGTTATCATAATGGTTTTAAAATGTTGCTTCTTTCTAAGATAGAGAAATCTTCATTAAACATAAAAATAAGAATATTTATAAAATATTAAAATGAACAACTGAACTTTGCAATCTTTTAACCTATACCGATTCGTAATATCTTTCTGATTTAAAAGTACAATCAAATTGTGTTGTCTGAAATTTGTCCAGTTACCTTCAGTCAACTCAAAAGATATTTCATAAATTAGTTGATGGAATAATCAATATTCATTTTATAATAGAACACTTGCCTTAACTAATAATACAGGTTCCAAAAATTCTTCATTGAATAATTGCTGTGTTGCAAAGTCAGAAAAATCACTTTCCTAAACGAGAACTAAGTGTGAACTTGCACAAACATTTTCTAACCTTATACGCAGAACTAGCATTGCTGGTCTCATAAATTTAGACACTTTGCCAGGACTAAATCCTGCGAGCAACACTTTGCCAAAGCGGATTTCCCACACCAACACCGACCCCTTCTAAGTTCGTCCTTCCCGGAGTTTAGCTACATTTTGCATACGCAAAATTAATAACCATAACTCGTTGTTGCTGTCCGTTCGCACACACCCATGTGAGGCAAGGATACACGCACTCGGCACTCGAGTCCTTTCTGCCGGCCATGTCCTTTCTGCTATTTATGCATGCAAACATGTCCGTGTTGCCTGATTTTTGCTGCCTCCTTCGCAGTTGTGGGTGTTGTTGCACACTCTTTGCTTAGGCCCTCGGCCGTTTGGCCAGCGTTTCTACGGGTTTTGTTAAATGTTGCCTGCTATTCGGCCTTTCTCCCTTTTCCCCACAGCTGAACTCGTTTCCCAGCAACTGAGCCGGCTTAAAGCTGCTCAAAACTTTATGACCCGACAATTGTGCAAGAACGAGAACTTAAATTGAGCGAGGTCAAGATAAAGCTGGAACTAAGATGTGAAATCGAAGAAAGGAGCTGAAAATATATGTAGTATCGTACTCAACTGCTTAAACTAATAAAACGTTGAGGATTAAACTGAGAAAGAGGAATTCCTATATATGTACAGTAAATTCTTCATAATGTTCAAACGGATTTAGAAAAATAAAGGCAAATAGTAAAAAAATAACAAGCTAAAAGACTTTAACATTAAGTTTAAAATTCCTCTATTTAGTATAACAATAATCACTTTAAAACTTAAGTTGAAGTCAACTCAAGTCCTTAACTTAGTCTTTGAATTGAACGAAACAATTTTTGGGACGCACACAATCATGCAGTCTTTGCTTTCAATGTAAAAATTCTGGTTGGCCCAGGGTGAGACAATTAACTTTTATTTTTCAAGCCTATTTATTGAAATGGTCGATTCCGCAGTGACAAACACAGTGACAAACTGTTCCAACATATTCACCCCCTATACTTTAATATTAGATAAGAGAGGAAACTTATAGCATTTGGATTTTCCAAGAATTTGTTCACCTTTACTAAGTCTAAGTCTATTGCATTATTACTAGTTAATCATTTGTAGACAATGTTCTCTCCTGTCAACCAGACTAGCCGTTGCTCTTAACTAGTTGTATAACTAGTTGATTTTCTTACTAGTTCACATTTTTAAAGCAAGTAGGTTGTTTTGTCAGGCAGCCTGAGGAGAGGGACTTTCAGTTGAGTTGTGCAAATCCCCTGCTCAAGGGTGAAATTGCAAGTCCTGGTTAGTATCCCACATTCAGATAATGGAAATGGGGAAGAAGTCTCCAGAAATGCGTTTTTATGTAATCATGCACAGCCTGTACACACAGAAAAATTAGGATAACTTTTGGTAACATTATCTAGTTTTTATGATAATTTTTTGCCAGAAAAATAAAAAGAAATGTCTATAATTATCATGCGACTAAGTCTGAGAACACTCGAATAACATTTGAAAATTGCTATTATATTCTGATGTTAATAAAAGATCATATGCCTAAATTTAAAAAAGGTATATGAACGTGTTATTAAAATTAGTATAGCATACAAATAAGAATTCATGATTACAAAATATTATAATGAATAAAATAAGCCAGCAAAATGTTTTATGTTTAATTTGCGGAGCTGGATTTCGTCAACTAAATTTTTGTTCTCTGTAGTTGCAACAGCAGGAACCTGTTTATGCAAACTGATGGATGCAATGCAACCGAGTGGTGGTCTCCAGATCGCCTCCTTCTGGTCCGTGTGGCTGGGGACCGGTGCTGGAATATACTTTGGGTCGTTAGATGGGGATATCGTGTGCGTGTGTGTCCTGTCTGATGGCTAAAAAGGAGTTTCTAAGCAGGTGCAGCTGCAGTAAGAGCAGCAGCCGCGCGTAGTCAACGGCAACTGACGGTGCGGAGGAATTTATGGCGCTCGGAATCAGTTCGAAACTACTTAAAATACCTTTTGGCATTTTGTAGTTGAAATATGGTCGGTCTGCCACCCACTCGCATCCCATCCCCATCCCCATCCGCTATTCCTGGTTAGCCCAGGATGTCCCTGGCTAAAACCTCCTGCTGCAAACCTGTTCCGGTATTTTCAAATGGCATTCTTTTTCGTATTGGACAGATTGTTGTTTTATTATGCACAGAGGATATATCCCGTCAGACATTCTGCCCCATTTTGGCATGCGGCTAGTGCATGAAATTGTTGTCTGCATCTGCATAGTTTTGTGCAAAATATAGAGGGCAATGCCAGGGCATTATGTCTGGAGTCTGGAACAACTCATGAAGCATGTAAAATGCAAAGGGTAAATATGATTTATGAAGTGCGTTGAGTTGCCTGTTTTGACTAGCAAGGCAATCTCGTTTACTCGATATTAAAACCAGGGACGGATAATTGGTCAAAGGTGATTCGATTTACCGCTCAAGTTAGGCTTTAAATATAGAAAATAATTGTTTTAGAAAATTAAAATAGGCATGCCAATACCTTCATGAGTTTATGTTTATGTAAATATAAAAAATACATTTCATTGGGTTCACAAGTGTTTTGTTCAATTAAAAATTTAACAAAAAAAGTTACAAAAGGCCATTGTAAAAGTGGAAATTTTGCACAATTTACTGATTAGGTTAAAATTCCATATTTTGCATGTTTCAAAAAAAACATTTCCATTTTCCCATTCTTTCTATACAAGTAAATTAAATAACAAAGCTTGAAATAACTTCCGAACCATTTTACATTTTCATAATTCAACATTTGCTGATGAATGAAGTGGGATGTGTTTATTTAAACTTTTTGTTGTGGGTTTTGATTTTGCATTAAGTGTATACATATACATAAACGTCATTGCACTCAACTCTCAGATAAAACAAAATAATTGCAAAAATATTCAACATCAAATTCGCATAAAGTTTCAATAAAACCATATTTCGCTTTTATTTTTGTTGAGAGCGTATATCCGAATGTATTTATTTTTATAATTTCATTAAGTCTTGTTTGTATTTTGTTGCATAAATTTTGCAAACGGTTGCACAACTGCAAAATTGTTTTGCTGGAAATTTTATGTTTTTCTGTCTGAGAATTTTCGCAGGTGTGGAATGTAAAATGTGAATGTTTAAAATATGGGTGTGGAAAAGGGTGAATTATTTTGTTAAAAAAGCAATACTCGCTTATACATACATTTACTTATTGCCTTTGAAATTTCTTCGTAATTAGCTATTATTTTCAATACTTTTCCCTTCCGTTTTTCCACTCGCAAGAGGAAATAGGAAATTAAATTGAAAAATCAAAGTCAATAAAATTTCACTTTCTTTTCTGGGTCTTTCCCAACTCTCTCTTTTCCTACACTCGCCACTCACGCCTTTTTTCACGCTGCTCTGGGTCCAGAATTGGCTGGAAAAGGGAACGAGAGTGGGAAAAGCCTTTTAATTAGTCCAGCAGTCGCCGGTTTTCCTTTGAGTGCAGTGCCAACATGAAAACACCCATACAGAAATAAAAAAGGCTAGCGGGGTTGCAGTATAAATAATGGGAGGCTAAAAAGTGTTGCCATTTGGTTAAACAATTGCCCGGCATGGCCTACATTGCGTATGCGTAATGCCTTTTAATTTTCAACCATTTTCGCTGCCTTATGAGCTTTTGGCCAGCATTTGAATTCATTTGCCACACACTTGGCTCTACCCCCTCTCTTCCCCTCTCTCTGTTTTCACAATTTTTCTTTATTTTTGCCGCTTTCCTCGGGTTTTTCCCCCCCACCCAGAAGTTCATTACGTTATCGCGGAGTGTATTCGTGTCCGGACGCCTGGCACGTAGCTTCCGACACGCTAAGGGAGAGAAAATTCGGGGAAAGCGGAGAAAGGGGAAAAAAGGGAGAAAGCGGAGAAAGGGAATAGGGAGACGAATGACGAACGAAGGGTGTGGAAGAAGGTGAACACAAGTGGCAGCCAAAATTACAGCCAAAAGCTTTTGGCCCTCTCCTTCCGAAAAAAGGAAACCTTTTCTTTTATGCATGCCACACTCTCCTCGAAGCTGTCTCAGTAGTTGTAACAAATTCGTTGCAAGATTGATTTTATTGCCCCCCAAAAAGGAAAAAACACAGACGAATTTGCTGGGCAGCGAGTGATGGAACACACAAAAAAAAAACGGCAAAAGGGGAAGTACATGACGCGCGTTTCCGTTTCCGCTGCAGTCGCTTAAGCAACGCTTTTCTATTGATTTCCTCTTTTACTGTTTAGTGTTCACTTTTCGGGTTGAGGGACAGCTCTCTCTAAAAACCGCAAACCGTTTTTAAAGTTGAGTAGCTTGCATTAATATTAAATAGGATTCAAGGAGGCCAAACTTTTCATTTTGGTTTTGAATGCTCTCTAAATAAAACACCTATTTTCCGCTTTTTATTGCAGATGGTGCCCACCCAGCAGCTCTCGAAACTTTCGAACCTCACCTATTTGAACCTGGGGGGAAATCGCTTTTCCCAGCTGCCCGCCGTCGCCTTTCTCAACTTGTTTCATTTGCGCGAATTGCATTTGAGCCGACTCGACTATTTGCAGCGCATCGATTCAAGGTAAGTTCTCGGCCAAAACTATTTTCCAACAACAGCTCAACTCAGTGATACCAAGTACAAGTGAAAGTGGGTCAGATGAAAACGAAACTATTTTCGATTTAGGACGAGCTAACAATAAACAAGACACCAGCGCAAGATGCTGTCAAACTGTTTCAAAGTTTAAGATCTTTTGGGAGTTTGGAGCTAAGGAGTAGGGAAGTCATTTACCACACATTTGTTGCACTTAAGCAGGATAATCCTAAAATTAATCTTTCTTGTGATTGTTATACTTCACGTTTAAATTTTCACTCTCTCCTTCTATCGATTTAACTTTAAAGACCCCATTACTTACTTACTTTGGAATATTTTAAAAACGCCAATTTATACAGTTCGAACTCCTTATTGTTAGTCATTTTTAAATGGAGGAAATATATAAAACGAAATAAGAAGATAAGAACGCTGAAGTGATGTTCTCAAACCTTCCGAGAGATAATATAAAATATACTCTTAAATCCACTCACATAAGTAAAAACAATACATAATATATAAAGACGTCTGTCTTTAGCATTGATAAGGTTCTGCGAGCAAAAGTTTAATTACTTCTTCAAGTTAATAGCATATTATACTATCTGAAAAGCCACGCTGTTTTTTCCAAGAAATAAATAAAGCAGATTTCAATGTTCTATAATATAATTTTTATTGTTTTGGCAGCTATAATATTAATATAAGCATTTATTAGTATTTTAACCTATCCGCTATCCATTTCTCGTGGTCTTGAATCTTTGTAATGACGATTGCACCATCCTTGACATGGCTTATTAGGCCAACAAGTAAATATTTCTGGACGTCGTTGACCGTGTCAACAGAAGCAATTACAGACCCAGGCATTTCATAAGGTGCATAGATCGATTCGTCAGGTTTGTCCACGCAGAGTTGATTGGCCTCCACAGGAATTCCAATCTTCCTGGAGCATGCTGCATTATCGATCCTGTTCAAGGCTACACTTGTAGAGCCCATCACCTGATCATTGTAACTATAGAGCAGGGCAGTCCACGTCTTTGGAGAAGCGGTGTTCACTCCCATACAGATAGGTTGCACAAGAACTAGAAGCAAAGGCATTTCGTTATGAGGATGTGGATAAAAATGTAGTTAGTTTAGTTACATGAATCTGGCACGCCTTTAGATAGTTTGATCACAGCTATGTTGTTCTTTATTGACTCTGCTGAATACGTGAATTGTGGGTGCTTGCGGTACCAAGCAACTTCATAGCTCTCAAGATATCTGGTTTCCACTTTTCTGCATAGAAAGGTTAAGAATTGATCATTAGCATACATAAACGAAAACATATTTTGATATTAAATCACCATATTAAGCACCACTTACATATCGTGTATATTATCGGGAAATGCACTCGCAACAGTCACGACAAATTCTAAAAAATAAAAATAAAATATTACTTTACTATCACGAGCCGATTAAAAATCTACCTACTTCTTGTGATTAGGGCGCCAATGAAATTGTGCTCGAAAAGGGACATTTCCCATAGGCGCACCAGAATTCCACTACCCCAATCGGATCTGCAGTGTTCGGTCAGAAGTCTGGTTTCGGATTCGAGCACCGTGTTGGCTATCCAGTATTTGAAGGCATTCACGTCAGTGTACACTCCAAAGCCATGGCAATCCGAATCGCCGTAGCTCACCACTCCAAACTGCACATATCTATCCTTTCCCCTGTATGTGAAATTGGCCGCCAGTGGACCCCCGGAATCACCTGTACAGGTGTCGCCGCCTTTATCTCCGGCAGCGCAGATCTTGTTCACACCAGAAGTAAAGCATAACTCATCTGCTATTCGGTGCACATCGAGGAAGTGTAGAATTTTGCTATCTAATTCATGATCGGTTTTACCCCATCCAAAAGCAGAGAATTCGTGCACATTCTCTGAAGTTATCTCCTCATCCAAGATTATGCAAATTGGGCGTATGTAGGCTGCAGACAGAAAAAGTATGGGAATCAAACATTTCGATGCTTTTTTGATTAATGGCTGTTATAACTTACATTTTAGAACAACTTCAAATTGCAGTTTTATGAGAGCTAAATCGATTGACAAACTAAGTTTGTTATAGCTGGGGTGCACTATAATCTCGGAAGCATTATGACGCTCGACGTGTGGGCACTTGCTTTCTGGGCACGACCTGTCGTACTCACCCAAGTGAACGACTCTAAGATAGTTTAAATAAACATCAATCCGAGTTTCGGTTGGCCAATGCCAGTGTGGTACTTACAGTTCATCTAATTTCATTTCTTTTACGCAGTGCGCAGCTGTGAGAACGTACCCTAGAAGCGGTAGAGATTATAATATGATCCCAGCTTAATTCTTCCGCCCCTCACCTTTGTGAACTAGTGTTCCTCCGCAATAAAACGTAGTCCCATTGTATATGCCTGCCATCCAATTAGTGGTCCTCGGTAAGGCGCGCTGCCCCTGGGTAATTCTGAAGTTGACCGGCACTGGGCCGTCACAACTTTCGTCCAGGAGCTGGGCAAGTCCATTTTGGCAGAGCCCCAACGCGATAAGAGCTATCGCGATCAATCCGCACATCGTTCCTCTTCAAGCGATTATAAGCGACTGACTGACTAGTGCTCAACTCGCTCCAATAAAAGTCTCTGATAAGCGCGATAAGCTCAGAAACACTGTGTGCACTCATTTTAATGGTGACCTTCCTGAACCCGAATTAAATATTTCCAATGAATATTATGATTTCTTTTAATTCACATAATGTACAAATAAAAGACATATTTATTGGCATCGCATATTTAGCTCTCAAAACTCAATTTAGAGCCATTCTTAAAATTAAATAAGGTCTGTAATCCAAAATAAGCAACCGCGATATTTTATTAATCTCTAAGCGAGAGATCTGTTAAGCCGGATACCCCATCATAATTCAAGAGGTTAAAAGTGTTAATCCTTATTTTAATTAATTCGTTATTCATTTTCCATAGAATACTTCTATTAACTACATTTAGTTACATTAACCTAGCACATCCTTAAGTATATTAATCACAGCCATATTTTATTTTAGAGACCCTGCTGAATACGTGAATTGTGAGTGCTTGTGGAATCAAATAAAAATATTTCTGGTTTTCTCATTACTGCACAGAGAAAAATAATGGAATCCAAAAGCACATATAAACGGACAAATAATTGTGTATTAAACGATATATTCCCATTTACATATTGTGTAGGAAATTGAAAAAGGGACTCCCAATAGTCTCACAATTCCTAAGGCATTTAAATATTGACATTCTCGGTATAAAACTTCGGTAGAACGAAGTTGCGCAGTATTTTACTTTCTGTTCAGAACGCAACAATAAGAGCTGTCGAGAACAATCCTCATACATTTCGCTTCAAGCTATTATAAGCCACTGACTAACTAGCACTCAATTCCCTTAAATAAAAGTCTGTGAAGCCAAAACCTCCAAATAAATGAATTTCCAATAACTTCACAATTTCAAAAACTAGTATTTTACGAAGAATGATTTTATTACTGTAGATCAATATAACTTTCCAAAATTACACAAGTTTTGTGTCTTTATTATTTTTTAAGCAAAATAAATTTCTTAAAAATTAATATAAATTTTAATTAATTGAGTAAAATTCGCATTTAGAACATATTTTTGAACTTTTAATGCTTATCTTTTTGACCATGAATATGGCTGTATATAGTCCGACTAAAATTATAATCTTTTTTGCAAATAATTTAAAATGTTCTGTATTTTGGTAAATAAATTCTTCCGTTACTCACAAAATCAGGGGAATTTCCCTCAGATGCAGAACTAAGCAGCAGACAAATCATTATTGCTCAATGCAATCAATCATGCCTAATACGCTTTTGGTAATAAGATGCCACCACACTCAACGCAAGAGGCGGGGGCGTGGCAGGGGCAAATGCTTGAGCTCAACTCGAGCATATGCTAATTCAATAATTCCAGGCAATTTTCATATCAAATCGATGAACGAGCCGAGACTGCCGCCCTTTGAGTTGGCGATGTCAATCAACCACCGACAGCAGAAGAGGTAGCTATGTGGCAGATATAGCTCCGCAGCAGCATCAGCCACATGCCACGCCCCCTGGGCGACATGCCGCTTTACAATGACATTAACATGACTTACATGACAAGCGATGAGAGGGACGAAGGACGAAGGACGCAGGACGAAGGAAAGGGAAAGCAGACGGCATCGTATGCCATTTAAATGAGTTTAATTTGGAATTTTCGTTTGATTTTCTTGGCACAAGTTTGGTTAAGGCTATTCCGCCCTGCACCCCCATTTTCCGCCCATTTTCCGCCCACCTTCTAACCACCACCCCCTCCCTCCTGTTGGCCTTTGTAATTGCTTTTGCTTTTTGTTTGGCTTTTGTTTGGGCTCTGTCTCAGTCTTGTGTAAACTTTTCCCTTCACATTGTTCGCAGACTGTTGAAATTGTTGCTCAATCTGCCCAAACACATTTACATACGAGTATATGTCTCTGCACATATATAGTGTGTAGAGTGATTTGCAAACTAAATTCGTGTTTGCCTTGACTGACTGACAAACCGACCGACTGACTGATCTCAAATTCGCTGGATTTTTCACCCTTATGTTAATTTTCTAGAATTGGAGTTGAAATGCCTAAGCGGAATACTTTGAAAATTATTTAAATACCTTTGAGAAATACCTTTCGAGCTTTTAAAAATAATTCTGGTCTCTTATAAATAAAATAGGTTAACATTATCATATAATTTCTAATTAAACAAAATGAACAAAAGTTAGCTTTACCACAATTTAGAACAGATTTCCAAAATAAAATATATTTTTCAGAACTCTCATAAATACAGTCTTTTCATGCCTAAGCTGTAATTCTTTTATAATTTTAAATTCGTCCGGTTTTAAACAAACCTTCCCCTCTACTTATTTTATTCTGCTTTTTATTCTTTTCGCTTGTTATTTTTTTAAAACTGAAAATAATATGCAGACATTTTTTTAGAGAGTGATGGGGAAGTTGATGTAAAATTCATTAGCCAAAAGGGACGAATGCAAAATATTAAAGGGGTTGCCAGACAAATTGTTACCTTGCCACGCTTACAAGCCCTTTCCATATTTTCCTTTCACGAAATAGCGAAACATTTTAAAGTCAAGCGAGATAGACACAGGAACCCCCGAAGACAGAGAAAGACATATATGTATGTAAATATTTATGCAAATGCGTTAATGGAAATCTGAAATGTGGATAGGATGGCTGGGAAAGAGGACAAACTGCGATGGCGACACGTTGATAGTCGAGTTTATGGGGCGACAGGATACATTTCCCCAAAACACCGTGTGTGCTTTCCCTTTCCCTTTCCCTCGGATCGCTGCTCATTATGAAATCCTTACACCTAAACAATCAGCGCGAGTCCTTGCAAAATTCATTAGGCAGCAGCACGTTGTCCACCCACTTTCACCCACTTTCACCCCTGCGAAAATCAAACAACCCTTCGAAACAGGAGTTACAGGATTTTCGAGAGGTAGCCCATATCAAAGGGAATGCGAAAGTGAACATGACTTAATAGCAGAAAGTCATTCCGGAAAAAGGACGGTAGGTGTTGCCCGGTTTATTTGGCTGTGGATTTCAAAATTGAAACTAATTGTTTTAAAATTTATGCGGAGCTTGTTTTGGGGGGGCATGTGTGACATTTGTTTTGTGGCAACTTTGGGGTAGCTGTTCCCCAATTTTTGGGTCTCTGACTAACTGCCTTGACTGCGCTCTGAATTTTGATGAGGATGTATGCCGGAGTTGAATGCGACAATTGGGAATTAAATTCGAGTGTAATGGACTGTGCTGACTATAATGGGTTAGAAATAAACTCATTGAAGGGTAAAAGGTGCAGGACATACAATCTAACATTATGGCTTTCCCTTTAGTCATTATTTCTCACTCCGAAGACTGACTTTGTTTAACGAAGGCGCATCAATAAAGGGATAAAGTATACTTCTTAATTTGTAGAATAACGAAATGATCAAAACATTTTCAAATGACAATAAACTATTAACCTGATTGCCTTAGCTTGAATGTTAGATTTAAATATATGGATTTATCAACAAAATGTTCCCCATGTATCAGTAACAAAATAAACTGAAATGACTTGCCTTTAAATAAAATTATTTCATACAATTTATTCGCATAAAAATACATTTTCAGCAACAGATAAAATGTGAGATAAACAAAAATATCAATTAGTTACTTATACAAGCAGCACCAATTACCTTCTTCTTAGCTGCTTTGCCCCATCTCATAATTTATTCTGTCCAATTTCTTGGTAATTGCCACTTGTCTTGTTATTCATTTAAACAGAATCACTTGAAAAACACTGCTAATTAAGTTGGTTACTCTGGCACCACCTTTTAGCTTTCATCAGTCTCACCTGTAGCGAATGCTGGTGCCTCATTATGCCAAAGTTTAGCTTTATTTAAATTCAACTCTCGGCGAATTCAAGTGCAGCAAGAGGGTTGGGGGGGTGGAACATGCATATGCATAAATAGACAGACTTAGACTTTGGTCGTCCTGCTTTTGCCGGTAAATACGCATAATAGCTAGTCGGGTCTTGAGTTGCCACTGCTGCCGCCTTGAAATATTTCCCAGCTCATAATTTATGGAGAAATATGGCTGGGGTCGCAACATGTTTATGTTTTCCTGTTTCCGTAATTTCTTCCTGCTTTCATTTCGTCTTTTCTTCGTCTTTCTGTTGTTTGCACTTTTCTGTTAGCACACCGAGTTGTGAAAAAACATGCATTGCATACTTTTGTGAGCAGCAAATGAAAGTCGGAAAACTGAGCGAAGGTCTTAACATTTTGACTCGACCCTTTGTTTATGTTTACACTGCTCTTGTTTATTAAGATTCTGCCTCTGTTGTTGGCTCATTAAGCTGACATATTTCCTCGCAACGTTTTGTTTAATCAGAGCAGGGGAAAAAAGGAAAATCCTGCAAGTGGCAGTCATTGACTTTACGGTTGATAATCGTATTAAAAGTCCGTTTTAATAGCCACTCTAAGCACTCACTCGACGTCCTCTTGTCGTTCAATGGGAAACATTGCAAATGTCGCCAGCAATAAAAAACCAGTCAGGAAAATTGCCCAGTATGTGTGCCATTAATGTTGTCATGTGATGTACGAGCTTAATTAGCTCTCCACACATTTTCTATGTGTTTGTACTTGCGCTGTGACATAATTAGATAACAAATTCATAAAGAGAAAAAAGCTTGACAAATGGCCATCATTTGCAAGAAATATGATTTAAGGCTTAGTGCTTTTTAATATTATTACAGATATGTAAACATTTAATGCATTACCAAAGTGTAGCAGGCCAGTTAATATAAGTATGCTCTGGTACCACTATCCCTTGAGTTACGCTCTCTCGAGAGAGCATGTTACTCTCTCAAGAGAGCGCCTCTCTGTGAAAACGGGGGTTGAAAGCAAGCTGCCTGCGAGCAGTGACTTCACTTGGTTATGAGAGCGCAACAAAAGAAGATCAGTAAAAGACAAGCAGAGATTAGTGAACTAAACCTAAACGAATGTAATTTAAACTTAAACTAAATAAACTAAAGACGCAATAAATAATATATAATAAAAACATCCTGATACAAAAGAATATTATCAATAGTTATTAAATAAATAAAAACAATGAATTCTGGTATATGGTATATTAATTTTACATATTCTTCTTATAGGAACAAAAATATTATTCAATGACAAACTTCCATATTAAATTCTTTATTGAACAATTTTAATTTTCTAAGAACTTGTTTGCAAACATTATTCTACATCCACCAAGATAGTTCCTTACTATTGTTTGTAAATAAACTACAATTATGTAAAATTAAGTGGGCGAAAGGGAACCCGTCCTGCATTTTTCTTTACAGCCATTCCTTGTTACAACGCCCACTTGACTAGCATTATGCGCTGGAAATTAAAGGAACTTGTGGGGCGTATATGTAATTTAAAAACGTTTAAAATGTCATTAACAAATTGCGCGGCCATATCATTTGATAATGTGTCTCCAAGCTTTTGAGATTGCGTGCATGTGGGTTGATTATCGTTTCTGGGGGAAAAACATTTCGAAAGGTGGGGCAAAGTCAGAGAGCTCAATGAACCCAGGAGTGGAGATCCTCAGCTTATATGATGTAGTTAAAACGTCAATCAAATGTATAGAGAGAGTGGAAGCAGGCGATTTGCGGCAGTTGGGCGACCGAAAGGATTGACTGCCATTCAAAACTATATCAAAAAGCGACTGACAAACTGTTTGACAGACTGCCTGATTGACTGTCCAGACAGCCGAACATTCATCCTGCCATCGAGTTGGCAAATGCCGAATGCCGAAGTGACTGAACTCTGACGCTGTAAAGTCCTGGCAGTCGTGACTGAACCCAGCGAACATGGACGGCAAACATTTCAATCGGATTTCGAGCAATTCCAATTCAGATTCGCACACACATACAAACAATTTGCATAAAAGGGAAAAAGAAGGAACGGAACAAGGCAAACATTTATGCCTCACACACGCAGCCAGAGACACACACGCTTTCCACCCATGGCAGCCATTTCCGTTTCCGCACGTTTGACGTTGGCAAACGCAGACAAAATAGTCGGGAAAAAAGTAAACCCAAAATCAGGGGGGTTTCTCTGCCCAGTCGAAAACATGAAACATGCAAAATGAAGTTTGAATCGCGGGGAACAGACCGAAAACCAAATTCAAACAGCAAAAAGGTGGGTCTAAGGACCCCGCCCCCATTTTCCCACCACACTTTTCCTGCCATTTTGTTTGCCCTGTCACTTGGTTTTTTAGGCAGTTGCATTTTAAGGCCAACAACAGGTCGATGAGGTAAATCATCAACCTGTGGAGCCTCTCGCCCAAAAAGTTCCTTAGATGTCACGTTTTCGTGTTGGTTTTGCCTTCCTCGGATATTTGCATAATATTTGCACAAATAATTGAATTTATTTTTTGCTCGTGCGGCTTGTGCGCTACCCGCTAAATTGTTTTGGGTAAATTTCGGCTTATGTCGTATGCAGACAGAGTTTGTTTTGGTAATGCAAAGACCCATTTTTTTTAGGTTCACCGCCTGCAATTGAGGTTTTTTCGAAGTTTTTTATCGTAGTTAAGTTAAATGTTAAACTTGCCATGAAATTGAATGTTCAGAAGGTGGAAAGATGCTAGTGGAGTACAGGTAAATGGGGACCGTGTGTGTGGGAAATTGTATGGTCTTGATAACTACGTCTGGCTGAAAGTGTCTAGAGATTTTAATGATTAAAGTAGGTTAGGGCAATGTGTTTTAATGATTATAAAGTCTGTTAAATTTTGAGATAATCTAAAAAAATATAGTACGTTATATTCACAGCTATTCTTTTATAATCTCTCAAAAAATATACAAGGCTGTTTTATTAAAATCAATATTGTTATTCAATCAATTTTCAGGCAAAAATGTACTTTCTTTGAATAATATTAAATAAATTTCTTGTTATGCTTAAATAAATATCATTAATAATTTGGTATCCAAGATCCTCGCTCAGATGGACAGAGTTCCAAAGCTCTGCTGCCAATCCCTCAAGTCATCAGTCAACCTAATGAATTTCATCCTTTAGGGTTGGCAAACAATTTTCGTTCTCATTGCCACTGCGATTCGAATTCATCACCAGTCGCAGTCGAATGAATTCGCTGCAAGCTTATGGCCTCGAAGGATTTAACAAAATGCGGCCACTTATCAAATCAATGGGTCCTTTGGTCCTTGGTTCCTTGAGTCCTGGGGAGCTGGAACTGCAGCTTGTGCAATAAATGCGTTCATTTAACATGAAATGCAAGTCGCAAGCTGCAAGTATTGAAATGAAATGTGGCCTGCTTCAGAACGCTTAAAAGCGACAAATTCGCTTTGTGTCAGCGGAGTAAGTCAAGTCAGCTCCTTGCCCAATGTTGCTCATACGCCACGTTGCACTTATTTCATTCAGCTGCAGCCACATCTGAGAATGTCTGGCAGGATCTGGTCTTGGGGCTCGGGTCTTAGGTATCGGGTAATGCACTGCACCACTCAGCACACACACACTGCATCCTTGCAGCCCTGCATCCCTGCATCCTTTGCTCCAAGTCAGCGACTTAGCGCGTTGACTTAACTTGGCAGGGATTTACGACAACGCTCCACGGAGCTCGAATAACATGGAGCCTTGTCAGCTTGCTGCTTCGTCCTTCGTCCTGCGCCCCCACCTCCCTGCTCCTGTAATTCCTTCCCTTTTTTTATTCCCCCCCATTCATCCACCTCCTCTTTTATTAAGTTGAAATAGACGCAGGCTAAATAAATCCATGTCGCTTAAGTCGAGGCTGACGTTGTCATGTGTGTGCGAGTGTGTGGGGCGCTGGAAAATGTTGGGAAAGCTGCTGAGCGTATGTATGTTATTCATGTATTTCATTGCCTGGCATTTAAGTTGAACGCTGATGCATCGTGCAGTGTGCATAATTAAAACGAACAGTCTACTGGAGACTGCAAAAATAATCAAAAAACACAGAGCAAATGGCGGAGAAGAATAGTCAGTCGGCTAATTAAAGCAGTCACTTTGGCAAAATTCCAAACAGTTTTTTCTTTTCTCCTAAAATACTCAAATTAAAATTTAACCTATTCAGTTAGGAAATTTAATTCTGCTATATATTTAAGCATTGGTTCAATTAGAAAGAATTTGATTAACTCTAATTATATCTCTGTCCATTCAACCTTTAAAAAAAACATCTTCCATCGCTGCACAGAATATAAAATATTTTACAGATAATTTATTGACCATATTGGGACAAAAAAAACCTTTACAACGAAGTTTTTTCGTGAGTTTCTTAGGTTTTCCACCTGAATAACATATGAAAATCTCCTTACTAATGGAAATACCCTTCCTTCTCTTCTTTCCAGAGCCTTCGTGGACAACACGCACCTGCAGACGCTGCACCTGAACAACAACCCGCAGCTGAGCGACATCCCGATGCGCCTGTTCCAGGGGAACCCCAACATCCTGGAGGTCTACATGCAGAGCAACAGCCTGCAGACGCTGTACTCGGCCCAGTTCCCAGTGGACCAGTTGCAGAAGCTGTACCTGGGGGACAATCCGCTGCAGTGCAACTGCTCGCTGCTGTGGCTCTGGCGCCTGGTGACCGGGAACTTCGAGGGCGTGGATCCGGGAGTGGAGCCCGCGGCCGGCGGAGCAGTGGCCGCTTTGGCCAAGGAGGCGGATGAGCGGGAGGAGCAGGCGGACGAGGCCACCGCCGTGGCCTCCACCGATGACGGAGTGTCGGCATTGGCCGCCTACATTGCCGAGCAGCACATAGTCAATGCCCTGCACACCACCGAACCCAGTGCCTACGAGCTGGCCACCTCGTCCTCGAACAGGAACTCGGGCATCCTGCGGATGGACCGCCAGCAGATCGGCTGCGACATCTGGCGGGACAAGGTGCGCACGAGGCGGCAGTTGCTGGCGATGAGCGAGGGCGAGATCACCTGCCCCGCCCACATTGTCACCGTGGTTTGTGCCGTGATCACCTGCCTCCTGGTGGCCATGATCGGCGTGAGTGTGCTCTACTACCTGAGGTTTGTCAAGCGGCGGAGGAAGCTGCTCCACGAGCGTGGTCCTTTGAGGACCAGCAAGAGCATCATCAATGTGCACGACCGCATCCTGCAGGGTCACAATCCCGGAGGAATGGGCCTGGGCATGGGCATGGGCATGAGCATGACCCTGGGCGGCGGCAACCATGTGAACGGCCTGGGCATGTCCCTCAACTATCCGCATCATGCCCAGACGCTGCAGGCCCACCACCACTACCATCAGGCCACCATGCCACTGCAGTCCCATGGAGGAAATGGAGGCCACGACTACCAGCAGACGACCTTGCCCCAACTGGACAAACTGGAGTTGGAGCGGTATCTGGCGGCACAGAGCATAGCCAATGAGTACCGGGCTTTGAAGCCATGGGAACTGCCTGTTAAGGAGGCGGATGACGAGCCGGAGCATCTGTATGAGCGGTTCGATCACTACGAGTATCCGGACACCCACACCATGAGCAAGCTGAAACAGGCGGCGGCCTTGAACCACAACTCCACCCCCTCGGCCGGCCCCTCCCCCGTTCCCCCTCGTCGGGAAAGCCGCACGTGGTCTACGTATGACGTGGGCGTGGCAAGGGCGAGCGGGGATCCCAGTTGAATGCGGACATGGAAATGGTCACGATGAACCACCACCACCACCACAATAATAACAACAACTATCGGGGCTGTGTACAGAGCGCCAAGGCCAGTGGTCAGTTCTGAGTTGGATAATTCGAGGGGGTTACTCATCCAAAAACAGGGAAAGTGAGAGGTTAGGCTTAAGGCGAAATTAAGGGAGGATGAAGGCACAAATCTTGGGATCTTTAGCAGGAAATTTCGATGGGGGATTGGCAAACTATTGAAAAGCTAAGTAACAAATGAATACCAAAAAATAAAGATTTCATTTAACTAAATAGCTCTTAAATCATAAACCCCAAATCATCGAAATTATCTGCTAAAAACTCTCTTTGTGTTCAAAGTTGGATTATTTTTTTTTCGAGTAAAAACAACAAAGTTTAACAAGCGTCAAATGAAACAAGGGATATGTCTACGTGTAAAGCAAACATACAAATACTCTTAATGACCTACGGATAACAGATATATTAGATATGTATACTAACCGCTAAACTAAGAGAAGAATACGATTTCAAAGAAACCTTTTTGCTGGCCCCAAACTAAGCTAAGCTGCATTCAAATCTCACTCACTTTTCTCTCCCACTCATAGTTAAAATGGCATTTAGCATTCGAATACTCTAGATAGCGTTTAGTAAGTAAGCAACTTACAAGTGAATTTAAATATATATATATGAATATATATTAGGTATAACGATGAGGGAGGGTGCAAGCTAAAGGAGTTTATTTGATTTTCTTAATTCGATTAACGAAATTACTGGGCATGTCTTCAGCGATTGGGTTAGATGGGGAAAAAGACAACGACTTTGGCAGGCAAATAACCTAATGGGGACCAAATAGTCCAGTCCAGTCCAGCCTAGAACTAACTGAATGAATCCAACTGCCAAAGGGGTCCTTTTCAAGTCCATTCAAGACCCGCTGAAACGTGTTCTCAAGTTTCCTAACTTTAGCAAACATCTCGAATGACAATATACAAAACATTAAGCGGAAAACTAAAAAATTAAATTATAACACCTATATTAACGTATCTTAGTGAGCCAGAACTCAAAGTTGAAATAATAATAAATATAATTTGTAAATATCCCTTAATATTGAAGCACTCAGAAAAGTGTTCGTACGTTTACTGTAAATAATTTATGGAATGCATTTAAAAACATTAGTCAAGTGCATAAATTATTGATTTAAGCATAAATGATTTCCAAAAAGCAATAGCTCAGAATCAAAGCTCGTTCGTTGTTATTTTTCGGTTGAGTTTGATTTGCGAATAATAATTTAATTAAATGCGACAACAGCATGGCAAATAGCGAACAAAACTAACCGGTATTTGCATAAAATATCAACACAGAGCACACAAAAAGCCAGTGTAAAAAAAAAATGTTCTAACTAAAAAGTACGAGTATATGCGTGTATACTAAATAAGCAAAATCAAAAAACCGACGAGCAATGCACGAAATGCATTTAGAGAAACAGGCAAAAAATAAAATCTGAGTATAAATAAAAACCAGTTTGTGTACAGAAGGGGCAAAGAGAGCAAGGGAAAAGGCAAATAGAAGCCATGCAACCGTAAGTTTAAATCTAATAATATGATATACGCAAGAATATTTAATTAAATGATAGACACACCCACAGCAACAACAACAACAAAATGTTATTTCTTATACGAAGACTGAAGAAAATGATGAAGCAAAATAAAAAGAAACAAGAAATTATAAACCGACTTTTAACTCTAATCAAGGGTAAATAAAGGAAACAAAGTGGCAGCCGGAAAATTTGTGTGCAGGTTGTAATAAATTAAGGATTTGCCTAGATGAACTCGTCCTTTCGCCTTTCCTTTTTTTTCCCCAGCAGCTGGCATGAAATACGACAAATCGGCCAGGCAGCAAACAAAGCCGGGCAGAAATCCATGTAAAACAAATAAAATACTTGTATATCCTTGCACAGGGAGTGGCCCCAGTGAACTGAGACCGAAACTGCAGGAGAAACGGCATAAATCTAGTGTCGAAACAAGTGCTCGACAAACACACCCACGCCCACATAAGTAAGTAACCCAAAACGCCTACAGCAGGACAATGGCAAAAAAAACAAGAAAGGAAAGCTAACTTCGGGCGGAGCCGAAGTTGAAATACCCTTGCAGAATATTCTGCAAATTATATTCTCCAAAATCATTCATAATGCATTCTTAATACTCATAAAAAATCCCAACTTCCTAACTTTAAAAGCACCAAAGTTATATCATTTCCAATCGTTCAGTTATATGGCAGCTATAGAATATAGTCGGCCGATCCTTATGAAATTTGATATGTCGGATTGATTAGGCAAAAATAAAACCCATAGAAAATCCCAACTTCCTAACTTAACAAACACCAAAGTTATGGCATTTCCGATCAATCAGTTATATGGCAGCTATAAGATATAGTCGGCCGATCCTTATGAAATTTGGTAGGTCGGATTAATTGGCCAAATATAAAACCCATAGAAAATCCCAACTTCCTAACTTTACAAACACCAAAGTTATGGCATTTCCGATCAATCAGTTATATGGCAGCTATAAGATATAGTCGGCCGATCCTTATGAAATTTGGTACGTCGGATTGATTGGCCAAATATAAAACCCATAGAAAGTCCCAACTTCCTAACTTAACAAACAGCAGAGTTATGGCATTTCCGATCAATCAGTTATATGGCAGCTATAGGATATAGTCGGCCGATCCCGGCCGTTCCGACTTATATACTGCGTGCAAAGGAAAGAAGGGTGTGTGCAAAGTTTCAATTCGATATCTTTAAAACTGAGAGACTAGTTCGCGTAGAAACAGACAGACGGACAGACAGACGGACAGACGGACAGACGGACAGACGGACAGACGGACAGACGGACAGACGGACAGACGGACAGACGGACATGGCTATATCAACTCAGGAGGTGATCCTGATCAAGAATATATATACTTTATAGGGTCGGAGATGTCTCCTTCACTGCGTTGCACACTTTTGACCAAAATTATAATACCCTCTGCAAGGGTATAATAACAAAGGTTGGGTGGGGCAAAAATGTAGCTCAGTAAACCGAAGTAAGAAAAATATTTACTGCCCAGTCAATTGAGCTGAATTGTTGGTTTCCACTTAGGCTGCTAAATCCTGTTGAAGGGATACAATTTAAGCTGCAACTCAGAAAGTATTCTTCCTCAAAATCTTTTGGAAAACAACAAGGTTGGTTGTGTACTGCCAAACTACATAACAATATTATATATTTTTGTAAACAATTTAACTACAGATCAGATTTTAAAGAACTGTGAATGGCACATCCATTCAACGCTTTTTAAGATATTTAATTTCAAATATATTTAATTTTGAGACAATCCTTGCGTTAAATCAAAATTACTATATTTTTTATTCTACTATCTTATTCCCTTTGTTGTATCAGAGTGAGAAAGAGTGGCTGAACTAAATACAAAATACGACTGTGAATAATATATGTTAGGGTTATTTTATTTTCTGCGTAGCTATCCGTAAAATTTAAACTCAGCACAGAAATTTAATTCTTTTCCTTGTGCCGCAGTATAGTTTGAACATAAAGTACACAATTACAAACTTACTTGCAGCACAAATATTAAATGTGGAACAACAAAACGCAAACAACAAAAAGACAGAAGAATTAAGCAAATAAATCTGAATGCTTTCTAAATAATTAACATGCCTGGAGCTCGCTTTCATTTAAACTGGGTCCCCGCCACTCATTGAGTTGTTCAACTCAACGCGCGGCTTAGACGGCGACAAATCCCCCGTGTCTGCGTTTGAATGATTGTGGGGCATTTGTTGTGGCATGAAATATAACCACCCATTGGCCAGACCACCCATCCACCCAACCACCCACAACACCCACCCGCTGAAAATCCCCGGGAATCGGGGAAACACCTGAGTCTGCGTCTCGAGAGCCTCATGGGTGTAGGCGTGTGAATAATGGCAAGTAATTAATGTTTCGACATTATTCTTCGCAACGCTGAAGGAAACGGCAACATTGTGCGCTCGTTTAATTAGCTCGGAAAATGTTTCGGAAAAACTTGCGCATAAGTCATAAAGTGCAGGAAATCGAAGGATGGATGAGTGTGTTCCATTAAATGCAGCTAGCCATCTGAATAACGATTTCAGTGGCATTTTAATTGCCCGAGCCAAATGAAATTTCGTTATAGTAATGCCATTAAGGAGAGATCCAGAGATCCAGCCCAAGATGCCAGATAAACACTCAAACAGGACCAAGTGGTTGCGAACATAAAAGCTTAATGTCCTGCAATTTGTTAAAAGATGCGCAAACTGCCCAATAAAATAAAGCTGAGACGATGGCTTTAATGTGATTGAAAAGACTGTGTGGCCAAAATCTGAAGCCCCACTTCAGCTAATTGTTTGCGTGCATTTCGAGAATGCGGGTCCAACAGCTGTGTCCACAGGTCACTTTGTTTGCATTTTGGACAAGGCGAAATGCTCAAATAATGGTCGAGACACAAACGTGTGAGTAAACAACTCCTGCACTATGATAAATCAAAGTCACTTAGCGTTTATGTCGATTTGAAATTCACTTACGGACCCGCAGATTGTCAAAGTACTGACCAAACAAAGGTCTAAAAAAAAGAGAAGGAGAAAACCCAAGGACATATCATTTATATCAATTTAAATAACGACCTAACAATGGATGGAAAAATCCCGTAAAAAGCTCAAGCAAACCCAGGGAAATGCTTAGATGGATGTTCGGACCAGGCATTGACAGTTGTAAGCCATAAACCACAGAAAATTGGGCATTATATTAGTTAAGATGCTGTCAGGCCGATAGATATCCCCGTCTTGAGGGCAAGGGACAGCCCACAGTGCAGACATATCGCTTTTAACACGGGGATAAAATGAGGCGAGTGTGGGAGATAATCGGGCGGACAGGAGTATCTTGTAGCCGGCACTAAAACACCGTTTGACAGGCAACGAGAGCCGGGATCCACAAGTCCGGGAACGGAAGCCTCCAACATTGAAACCGAGACAGAGGAAAAGTGACCACTAGATAAGCAAACGCATTCATCTTAGGGAAAAACGAAGGAAAAGGGCGAAATGCTAACCGCTATAGTCAAAGAAATCCGAATAAAGTTAAACAAAAGTTGGACATACATATTAAGGGGCTTAAAGAGTAGCCAGAAACCTAAAACAAGGAACTTATCTTGACAGCTGGACTGTGCACTTAACCAGGTTACCCGCAAAATACACCTATATATCTTGATCAATTTGGCCAGCGAAAAGAAAGAAAAAAACTTAAATCATAGCCAGCTTTTGTTCGGCTATCCAACCTGGTTTCTGTTGCCTTTTTTCCCCGGTTCGTTTTGCGGGCTTTGTCTGCGCCACTTTGCTTATCTTGGCCACACTTTTTATTGGTCCCCTTTATTTGGCATGACATCCCCCATATTTCACCAAATAACAGCAGCAGAGATAAGTGGCAAGCGGAAGGACATGCGAATTAGTTATGGTTCTGGGGAAAAATGTTCATGAAAGAGTTCAGAAAGTAAGAGTTGCCAAGCAACGAAAGGGAAAGGAATCCAAAGAAAGGAGTGCAGTTTCAAGGCACTAAATATTAAAACCATATTTAAATGCGTTTCTATCTACGAGTTTGCTGTTGTTCCTTTAAGATATATAACAACATATTTTGCCAACAGCTGACTTACCATTTCAGTTCCGTTTCCACTTATTCAAGTGTCACAAATAATTCAAAGTTATTTATACGACTCAATAAATTACATCTGCTATTTAATAATCTGCATCCCCAAGCTCACAAAAAATTTACAGCTCTATCAAAAATTATCGCTGCAATATTTCAAGCAACACGAAAATGGCAAAAATCAAAATATCATTGCCACCGCAAAAATCAAATTTCCAGAACTCACAAAGTGCGAGGTGGAGCTTGTGGAACATTTTTCTTCTTTTTATGGAAAATTCGGTTTTCTCAGGTATATTTTCAAACATGACACCTGAAACTTTGGCATACAAATTTATGAAAATATTTACACATCAATTTTACTGCTTGAAGGATGGGGGGGCCAACACCTTTTGGCTTCATTGAACTTGCAGCTTCGTATTACACAAAGCCCGAGGAGGAGTCGTCTGCCACCCCGGTACACATGCAAATATGTATAAACTGAATCAATTTTTACCGCGATAAACTTCGGCTACACCTTTTGTGGGGGGTTGTGAAATGGGAGGAGCAGAGGATTTTACGGCACTGAGGTAACTGCAAAATGTTGTGTAAAATTTGCAAATGCAATAAATAACTCGTTTCGGAGTAAAAAATAAAAGAAAAGAGTTTGCTTTTGCTGTTTACACCCCCTTTCAGAGGCATGTAGCGCTTCCTCTTTTTTTGCATTTCCGTATTCCTTTTTAGCTCCTGTTTAGGGTTTTTTCATCCCCCCGCTAAAACCAAAAGCGCGCCACATGTGCGAGTCTGCTTGTAGTTCCTGTGGGTTCTTGCTTTCTGGCTAGGATACTCTATAAAAGGGATAATGGAAGTTACGGTGAGTTTTTGATACACACTACATAACAAAATTAAGGAGTCTAATGGACTTACATCGCTATGTCATAATACATTTGTACATTACAATGCAACAATTTTTACTATATAATATAAGACAAAAATGCAACAACATTTTTATAGTTTTTTGTTTAAGTAATTAATATTGTTAAGACTAAAAAATACCTGTGTCTTTATTGCCCCTGGTCAATCATTTGTAAAACCGCAAAATCTTACGATTCTTTTGGTAATTATGACATTCTTTTGCTTATTTAACCACTACTACAAAATTTACATCAGGAAGGAAAGGGCCTTTAAACATTATTAAATGTGATAGCTGAAGATTCGCATTTAAATTAAACTTTATGTCGTACAAATTAAATAGTTGAAGGCTTATATTATTTCTTTTGTACAAAAATGTACATTTTAATACTTTTAATTTATTAAAAAGTATATTCGTCTAGTCCAACTATTAAAAAAGTATTTTATATATGTTTGCCATCATAAGAATAAATAAAAACACCACTTAAGTTTAAGCAAAAAAGACTATACAAATAACAAATTTGGATGAATCGGAATTTAACTAATAATTTTTCATCACTTTTTTAATGGTTATATGGAATACAAAAATTCTTCATTTCAAATAACTAAAAAGTTAACAGTTAGTGTATTTTTAGCTCCAGCAGGATACACTCCAAATACTTTTTTCATTTTTTCACTCCTTTTTTGTTTCGCTCTGCGTGTTTTTTGGTGCGGTGGAAAGCATCCCCGAAAGTATGCAAATAATTTTTGGCTCCAACTCATATTTGATATTCAGTGTCAGTTGCTCGAAAGGGTTACCGAATACAAGTTATTGAAATTTGCATGCAACGGGTGGTGGCGGGGGGGAGGCGATAAAGGGGAAAGGCAGGAGAAACAGCAGGCGTTGTTGAGGCAATTTATGGCACTTGTGTTAGGGCGTTTGGCGAACAGAAGGGGTGTTCTGCCGAAGGCAGACTTCTCGGTTATTGTTTCGCCATATTAAAGGGCAGGGATTTCTCAGCCCCCAAGGACGTAATTGTTTCGCAGTCTTTGGGTTTGATTATGTTCCCTTTATTTTTTTTACCAGTTGCCATTCCTAACAAATCTGCACTGGAATGCATATATACCCAATTAAGCTTTAGCCTGGTTCAACGCTTCCACATCCATCAGGATTCGGATGCGCACTCAAAAGTTACCATCGCAACGCTAACCGCACAAAAAAAAAAGCATAAAAAACTGGTCAAATCCCTGCAAATCGCAAAAACTACGCTAATAACATTGTCATATGGCGGGGGATGATGATTTTTTGCTGGCTCTTTTGCCACTAAACTTCGCTTATCAAAGTTGAAATTGCAGTTCGTCGCTGTGGCGCGCATTGGGGATTTGTTGGCCACTCAAAAACTCCGAATGCGAGGCATTTATAGTGGGGCCGGGATAAGGGATTTCATTTGAAACTCTGATACGAGCAATCGGCATTTTATTTGCCCTTTTTTCCCGCCGAGTTTCATCATCGTACGCCACTGACCCAGTTCAGGCATTTATCACAACGGCACACACAGATAGAGGCGATTGTCCTGAGGGTCTAACCCCAGCACAATGAATGACCTCCGCATATCCCTTCCTTTTCCCGACCGACTGCTGACTAAGTGGACTTTTATTTCACTATTATTACGGCCCATGCTGCGTATACGCAATGAATAGTTTCGCCGTCGAGCTTTTGGCTTTTTCTGCCGCATCTGCCAGCCATCTTCAGTTGCTAAGCGGTTTAGATTCAGACACATTTCTCACAGCTTTTGATGGTTTTTATTGTACTCTTTAAAAGTTTGAGAGCTAACGTCCGAATCTTCTCCACACACTTTTCCTGAATCACAATCGCTGTTCTGTACTGATAGCCACTGTCTGCCCCCTAGTTGCGTCCATTCATAAATTTAAATCCAATAAACCTTTGCCTATCGCATATCTGCGGGTTCTTCACACAAAAACGTCATTGACTTGATGGCGTCATGTGTCATCGTTTAAAATATATTAATAAACTGTATCATTTGGACAAGCGCCGTCTTGACATGGAAATTTCAGAGAGATAAGACTATCTACGATTTGCTCTGCTTCCGAGTTCTTTAACTTGAGTAGAGTGCTTTCAGTAGACGAGCGACATTTGAGCGAGCAAGATCACCATGAGCTATCAGAATTGCCTAGTTTTTTTGCTCTTGGCATTGGTAAGTTGGTACAAAGCATATTTTTTGAATTGGTCAATATTCTAAATTAACTTAAACACTAGCAGCATTTTACTACAAATGAGTAATAAACATAATGAATATCTGAAAATATAAAGTAAAAAAAAATGTATATGTTTAATTTAAAATACAGTTTTATATTTCACTCAAAAAGAAAATAGCTCCCTCTTAAATTATGCCATTAAACATTCGAATTGATTTAAGATTAACAAATATTTTTTTAATAATTCCAGCTTGCTCCCTCATTAATAAACTCCTCTGGGGATCAGTGTCGCCATCGATTGTTCTTGCAATCAGATCAAGCTTTACAAACCATTACCAATCAGCTTGTTTCGCTGGCCATTGAACTGGTGGACGATGTCGTAGAAGATCTCCTGGTTTTGGATTCCCAGAACTCCGTTTTACTGGGCTATTTAGATCGCTTCGATGCCTTTGTAGCCGTAAATGCAAATCACACTGAGGAGAAGCTCAATTCATTCTACGGCGTAGTTGAGGATTATCTCGATTCCGACACTACAGGGGATCCCCTCAGAGCTTCCAGTATTGAGACCCAGTTGATTGCCCTTTGCCTGCAGCGCAATGGATTCGATCGATGGAAGCGAACAGTTCAGACCAGAACAACCCAGCTCCAAAGACTAATATACAGAAAGCTCAGAAAACACCTGCAATCTGTGGACAGAGAGGATCGATTGGCGGTGGAACGCCGGTGGAAGAGAATTCTAACTCGTGGCGGACCCCGGAGATTGGAGAAGCTGAGGGAGTTCGTCAAATGGTTGGGCGAGTTCAGAGATTAGAGCCCAGGCCAACGATCTTTAAGACTGTAAGATATGCCACCAAGTGATAAGAAGAGTTGTAAACTTTATATGCCGTGTGGGTGTGAACATAAAACTTTTCGTTGCTAATTATAACCGACCATGACTTTGAGTTTAATTTAAATAAAAAAATGTATAAAAAAATAATGGATGTATTTCACTGTTTAAATCGCATTTATTCTTTTAACTTCACCAAAAGAAGTGATTTATATAACGGTTTTAATCAAATTTATTTTATTTAAAACCAGGCGTGTTATTACAATACATCAAAGAACCGACTATAACTTCCATAACAAATAAATAACACTGTTTTGTAAATTTCGTAATACGGTGAAATTCCTAAAAAAGCGTTGTTTTTTTATAAAATGTTTATATATACTGATTTTGTATTACATTTGATTATATCTAAAACAATGTCTACCCAATATTTCACAATATAGTTTGTTTCTTAAGAAAAATAAAGATTTGTTTGGTGTTCGATAATAAATTTGTATCCTAAGGAATTTTTAAATTTCAAATATACAGCCGACTTTAAAAAAATAAGCGCATCGCAGCTAACTTATATCCACTCCTTACCTCCCTCTGATAAATGCAATTTTCCACAACACGTTCCCTTCCTCATCACTCAGATCATGTATGAGAGCATTGTTTAATGCACTTCACAGCTGGAGGAAACTTTTTTCCAGCCCCTGTGTCGACGGCAATGAAAACTTTGTCATGCCTGGCAAAAAGGATGATAAACTTGGATAAAAATTATGAAACTGAATATGGAAGCGTTGGCGAAATTGAGACAGCAAAACAACAGACCCAACAGACAGGCAAAAGACACACGAGACTTGTAGCCATGTGAGAACTAAAACTGAAACTAAAACTGATACTTTTTATGGATGGCAAGTGAAAAATGTAGACAGTTGGAGAACGACTTTCCGGGGAGGTGAGCGGGATTTGCAGAGGGATAAAAGAAAAATGGCAACTGCATTTCCTGTCTAAAAGCTGACAAAGTGCTGAGTGCATTTACGACTTGGACTTGGACGAGTGTTTTGTGTCTTTCCTGCAGCTGCAGGAGATGCCCGGAATTTATGCACTCAGTCCACAGAGGCATTCCTGGCCTGGGGCATTTTCTCTGTGGCCTGGGGTATTTTCTTTGTCCCATCTGATAATCGGCCCCAGCTGTGGCTAATCGGTTTACATTTGTCACACTGGCACTCTGCTCACAGATTCTCGGAATAAAGCCCAGTTGCTCCTTGAAATCCCTTACAGAAAGATGCCAGTTTCCCAAAAATTTAGTGAGTCGCTTATGTTTTTTTGGCAAACTAGTGTTCAAGGATTTGAAATCGAATCAGTATCTCGTAATTTAATTTACAGTTAAACAGTAGTGCCATTTTATTTGACTAAATGGATTTAAAAAAACATTCTTCTGAGACAAGATAAGTATAAATAACATGTTTTTCAATAATATGAATTTTGACGTTCGTTGCAAATATATATCATTAAATCACAGAGGTCCTAAATATAAAATAAATATGTTTTTTTAAAGTTGAGCTTACGTTATTTTTGTATATAAAAAAAATTCTTAAAAAGACATTATTAGAGTAACATTACCATTTTAATAAGTTTGCCTAACCTTTCCTTAAACAAGATATTTAATTTGTATTTCAAAAAATGAATAGAAATTTTAATCTGAATTGTAAGGAAATTCTTAAGGTTAGATTTAGTTCTTGTCTAATTTGAAGAAAAATAACAATAGAACATAACAACTGTAATGGTTTTGATTTTGCTTTCATTTTTCTATCTCACATAAATAAATATAGTGGTTATTGTTAAGCAACAGAAAGAAATAAGCGTTTGCAATTAATTAATTCTATTTGACCGTCTTCATTCAAAAGATTTTAATAGAAGTTGCTTCTTCTTTTTTTTTGTGCAGGAAAAGCCACCGCCTTTCATTTTGTTATAAAAAAACTTCCATACTTTTAGATTTTGGGTACAGAAAAGATTTTATTAGGACACAAGGGTTTTGATGATCGTCCAGAGAAACTTCAGCCTTGGTCAAGGGTCGCTTCCCACAAACTCTTCACGATTTCGACAGCGAAAACACATAAAGGACTTTATACAACCAAAGAGGACGAGCAACGCCATGCAGGTGCAACACAGAACCACGATGAGAATGATTACGAGGAATATGAACAAAAGCCCCCATAGGCCCATGTGAGTTTCCGGTGCATGCGTGGTTGTTCTGTGGACCACAGTTGTTACATTGTAAAATATTTCAAAAACGTCTTCGTCAGTGATGTCTGTGACGTCGTCCATGGCAACTTAAGGCAAATATTGATGATTCTGATTTCAAAATGACACCTCTAAAAAAGAATGAAATGCTTAGAAAGAAATCACATCACAGCAAAGAGTCACAGCTTACTGCAATCTAGTCCCAGAAATTTTGAGCAGACCGTTGTTAAAAAAGATTTTGTGTCACTAGCAGATATTTTAAAAATGTACTAAATTTGTAAAAGGATAGTCGCAGCTTGCTGATATCAATTTTGGCATGTTCGAAATTAAATTTTTGAGCAAAAATATTACGAACATCGGTAACTATAAGTATGATAACCAAAAAATAGAACGATGTTTGAAAAACTTATAGTACAAGCTTACACTTGCTGTTAGCTATGGTAAATATGGAATACAGAGCGGGGTTCTGCTTTACCACACCGGTCGGTTTCACCCCACCGGTCGGTTTCACCCCACCGGTCGATTTTGCCCCACCGGTCGGTTTCACCCCACCATCTATTTTGTCGCACCATTTATTTCGTTCCACCAATTTATTTCATCCCACCATCCCCTAAAATAATAACTTTGTTATTCACATGAAATTTATTGCGTTTTAGATATGAGATCGTGGCACTACGTACATATGGAAGTGGACTTTCTGACCCACTAATCGTCGTCGAAATTGCAGTCTCCACAGCCTTCGCAACAGTCATCTCCCTCCCCGCCGCCCCCGCAGCAGCCCTCCCCCCTCCTCGCCGCAACAACCATCGCCGCAGGACATACAAGCGGAGCAGGCCAGTCCGCAGCAGCCACACAAACAGAGGAGCGGCAGGCAGATGATGACCAGGCAGCACAGGAGCACGGCGAACACGATCAGCACGATGATCCCGACACCCAAGTTCCCCGAATACGCCTGTGTGGTGGTGGGGGTGGCGATCGTGGTGGTCATGTAGTCAGTTATCCAATAGACAAGGTTGGTTTGCGTCGTCGGATCTTCTGTCGCTATTTCATCCGCCATTATAGCTCACTTACAAATATTGTTTGAACTTTATTATTTAACAAAAGCTTGAGAAAAGCAGCTGACAAATTGAACATGGATTCAAAGCCTACTACAGCAAATAATAAGACGAAAGGGAACCTGTATTTATATATTTTAGATATCATCAGCGTAAGAAATCTCAATGTAAGGACCAGCTTTAATTTCTCGAAGTATTAGGATCTAATAATTGTGATAAGATATTACAACTATGCCGGTTAGCATTGAAGGAAGCGTTTATACTAGACAAATGGTGGGTGTTAATCAAAACGGACTAAAGCCATCTACCCATCACTTCTAGATTAGATTATACAAATATATTATAGATTATAAGCGAGAGGAGTCAAAAACGTGGAGCTATCGATATAATATTAATTTAAAACCTACTTAAACTTCAGCTTTCATCTCCAAACGTGGCTGATGAGCAAGAAAGTCATTATCTATTCAATTTATTTACTGCAGAATTAAAAGTATTATTTAAGACTGAAATACTCATTGCTCTATAATTTTTTCTTTCATTTTTAATCGATGCTTTTAGAATTGTTTTTTTCTTTCTTGCATCAATTTTTGTCCGTAAACTTTTTATATGACAATGCACTATTTTTAACTAATAAATATTTTGTTGGTGATGTTCATGAACATCAGAAATAGCAGCAGATGATAGACTTCTAATCCTTTGTACATCAACGCTGAATATAAATGATAGAGTTTGTTGTATTAGTTGTTCAATAAGTACGGTGGTAACATGATTCATGAACAAGAGTAATTCTTGAATTAACTGACATGGGCTATCGAAATCATTTTTAAGTTAAAAATTTGTATGTTAAGAATTGGTTAAATAAGTTTCGATTTCCTTTATTGTGAGACCTTCACCTTAAGTATTGAAAGTTAAGAAGCTCAAGGCCAGAAGTGCATTCGTCACTCCTCTGGGGTTTGCCACATCAAGTGAGTTCTAACGATCTTCTCAATTCAAAATCCTCCGCACAAAAGTGCTCATTAAACCCACGCACACACCCTCGGCCATACAATGCTCATTCGAATTGTATAAAAATTAATGAAATGCATTAACGAAAGCGTTTCTGGGGGGATGGGAAATGGAAAAGTGGAAATGGGATGGAATCTGAGAGAGGGAGAGGGGTAGCCCTTGAGCGGGGATCTGGGGACCTGTCCCTGAGCTTCTGAGTGTACCTGTGCTCGTTAGCGCTCCATACACCCACTCTGACCCCCTCCACCTCCCCCTCCCCCACCACTCAAACACATATGCAAAAAATACACCCTCGCCACCCGTCATCATTATCATAATTTGTATGTGATGCGAGCTTTAAAATATTCATGCGAGTAGAAAGATTTTTTTCAAGTGAGCGCACGTGTGCGCGTGGGGTTCGTTATATGGGGGTGTTTACTGTATCAAGAGCATTTCGCACCAAGGGGTGGTCGTTGATTATAATGACTGTATTTTGTGTGCTGATTACTCCGCAGAGAAAATTAAGACAATGAGTCAACAACTAAATGCGATAAACAAAGGCAAGCTATAATATAAATGCATGTAATTTAAATGTTTTGCAGGGCTTAGTAAGAATTCTTTTGCACTTCCATATTACTTAATGATTTTAATATAAACTTAGTTTTATTTTTATTTCTATTTTCGATATCAAGCCAAATCATATTTAAAATCAAAAACTTCCAAAAGGGCACAAATCCTAAAAAAAATAGGTACTTGTCATGAAAATATATGTTTAGTATTTTTTTGTATTTTCTACTAAAAACTAAATCATGATTTTTGCGAAAATTTGCAAAAAAGAAATTTATTAGCTGTAAATGCTAATCGATCAATTGAACCTCAAGTTAAGCCCTGGTAGAAATTTAAATAATATCATTAAATTATATTATCTTATTGGAAATAAGATTAAATTTTAGTTCTGTGAGTCCTTTTAAAAACCAGCACTCATTGTAAATTCGTACATTATTCTGTCTCTTATACCATATCCCCGAACAAAAGTACATAAGAATGTCGATTGCTGAATTGCATTGTTATAGCTTCACCCAAAAAGAAGTTCCATAAGGTTTTATTAAATGCTGTGCATTTCTGTCTTGAATCAGAAATCATTGATTACAATTGGGAACTATTAGACACGTTTGTCAGCCAATTGGCAGGTAGCATTGAAAGCTCATTCAATTCACTACCTCGCACGCCCACAATCACACTTTCACCCACACAGTCGCGATCCACACTCAGGCATTCAAGCACACACACACACACTCACAAACACACACACAGCATCATGGCACACGTGGCTGCATGTCAAAGTGCAAAGTTTTGTGCCACAAAAAAACAAGTTGCAGGGGGTGGCAATGTGGGTAATGGCAGTCAAAAGCGCCGCTTGTCGATGTTTTCAGAAAAAATAAAACCGTTGGGGGAAAAATCAAGAAAAAAGTTACGTTTTTCCCGGCGTTACGTTGTTGTTGGCAACCCTTTTAGCTCTGGCAATTTAAACTCGCCTCCTCCAAAGTTGCCCACTTGCCATATCCTGTCGTTGCCGATGCCGTCGTTGTTGTTGTTGCGGTGGCTGTAGTTGCCGCATCCCTCAGATGGCTGAGGGGCCTTAGAGGGTTAAGGGCTGAGGGCGGAGGACGAAGGGTTAATGCGTGGCAGGCAATGCGCGAATGCACAAAGTCAACTTGAACATTAGAATCCGGCAGAAAGGCGGAACGAACACCTCAACTTTGAAGGAAGAAGATCTAGGCCTATCCTTTTGTAGATTACATAGTGGCAAGCTATTTTTTTATATTAATAAATTATAATAGTAAAATAGTACTTAATAACTTATCAGTAACCAAACTAATATTTTTCTTACCTCGTCAAAAAAATAATGAAAATAAGCCTTTCAAATGGGGTCATATATGGTCCTCTTCTTGCATTTGATATGCATTTGTTTTATAAGTAATTAATAATTTGTGAAAGTCTGCACAAGCAATAATGTAAATTTGATAAATCTTGACATGAGTTGTAAGCCCTTTAGTTAGAAAAGGACATGACAGTAGTGAAAAACAGCATTGCTGTTCCTTTTTCTTTCAATTTCCCCCATAAATAGCGAGTTTCAAACGGTCAGATCTCTTCATCCCCAAAGACAATCATTCGCTGTCGAATTTATGTATTCTCCCAACCAATCATCATCATCATCAGGAATAAACGCAGTGGCAATGATCATGTTCGTATTTGGCCATCATCGCTTTCATTGGCACTCAACGGAGGCAGCGAATTGCAATCGTAAACTTGATTGTAATAGTATAATTTTTGGCGTAAAAGCCAAACAAATAAACAAGACAAGGACTACGGACTATGGACTAGGGACCTCGGCAGATAATCCCCACTTATATGAGAAAGTGTAAGAGGCGGCCGAATTTCCTGCCCCCATTTCCATGCAATTTTTATGACTTGGCTCTATGTGCTGTTCTTTACTTTTTTGGGGGCGAGACAAGCGAATCTCACTCATAATCCGCCCCAATGGACTTTTTCCCTGCAAAGGCTGCAAAACATTTACTTTTCCCAGCGAGAATCTTGGCTTTTCCTTACTTTTTTCCCTGCTTACCACGTCACGCATGCTGCGAAAAGTTATTGTTATCCTTTTGTTTTAGTGCGCATCTTTTATACTCGTTTCATTTTTCTCCTGTTCTTATTGCCCTGCCTTGGCTGGCCCTTTTCGCATTGATTCATAATACATAAATATAAATATTGCGTATACGCAGCGTTTGCCTTGCCCTCGATTGCCATAAATAGCCCCAATATTTGTGCATAAATATTAATATTGCATGACCATTTTTATTTGTTTGCCGGCCAGACAGGGTCTCGGACTTTCTTTAGCCTGAATCGATAAGAAGCTGTGATTATAAGCTGATATTATTCTCTTTTGGATTCACTTTATATGAAAATACTTTATACGCTGAAATCAATTCGAATCTTCCTGTCTTAGTTGAATAAAAATGTGAGTGAAATTCATCGTAAGACCTGATATAAATGAATTAATTTAAAATGTATATTTTTGTACTTGTTTCAAAATACGTGTTAGTTGAACATAATTATAATTTTATATATTTTTATTTCTGCCAACTCGGAATTATTGGATTTTTTCTCCCTATGCCAATAAATTAGCACTGATTTATGTGGTTAAATAATTAGCGCCCTTTAGGAGCTATTTAATGGATTCCAAACAACTCTCATAAAAGCCCATCAATCGCCCATTTCCCTTTTCGTTGCCAATCGGCCGAAGGCGGTAATAAATTGAATGGTCCAATATTTGGGAGCGAGTCCCATTGAATTTAAATATTTGCAATTACATTTAAATGTTTGGCCATGTGTGGATTTCGATTTCGGATCAAGCGACTGAGTGGGAGGTGTCTGCGAAAGTATCCTTACATTCGGGCTCTGTCTGTTCGCTTATGCCAATAAATTTCGAGGCACAAAGTGTCAACGCGGCCGAGCCCTCCGATTTGCATACATTCGAATATCCCCTTTTCTCCATATAAGTATTGCAGGCCCTTTCTTTCCGCTACTTACAACAATATTATAATGGAATCCCACTTGAAAATAGAGCAATATCCACTTGCATATGTTGCCGCGGACATTTCGAGAATGAGACGACGCTATAAATATTATTGAATTGTTCCAGCCCCTCAGTATTTCCCACTTTTCACCGCTCGAGTGTCCGCCCCTTTGGTACAACAACAGCTACAGACGATGATTGCGGCAAGCGGATGTAAAAACCTTGGCAATGACAGTTTTTGGGCTCCGATCCGGTCTACGTCTGTTATGCAAATATTCTTATATATAAATATGTGGGCACTGAGAAAAAAAATACTCGAATCCTTTAAACTAGTCAAAAATCTAATAACAGTGTAACGTGTTTTGTTTACCATCATAGTGCGCTAACTTTTCAAAATTATTATATATACTATATTATTGATTTTAATAATTAAACTTTTGA